GTTGTAACATTATTAGTTGTTAACAACAGAAGCTTGAGTCGATTTAGGCAGGTGGCAGCAGTTCGTGATGTACGATAGTACTTTTCTCAGCGTTAGATCAGGCTTTGCCACACGTGGTGGGGGTCGTTGTAGTCACATGGTGGTCGTATGTGATTCGTTCCTCCTCTGCCATGGTTAACTATTTTCAAAGCAGTTTTATTTCGTTGCGTTTCTACATAAGGTTTCGCAGATAGAACTACAATTGAATAAATCCTTTTAGCTTGATCGGTATGGCTTTTAGAAGGTCGAGCTTTTCTCTGCGACCAGCTTCCCTCAAAAATTAGAGATTGCTTAGTGGTGAATGTTTATTTCCTTGACTATTTTATGGCGATCGTGCTCAGCTGTCGTAATAATTTTATCAACTCTTTTTGTAATTGGTCGATTACTTCGAGAAGAAAAAGAAGAAAATTTTACATCAAACATGTTCAGAACAAAAACCACGGCCTCATTTTGGGTTGTTTTTTTTTCAAATGATGCATAAAAAGCATTAAGTCTATGTAAAAGCATTTCAATATGAGAACATATATTGCTGCTATATTTCGACTGTCAAATGATACCAACGGTGATCCCATGCGTTTCATGTTCCCTAATGTCCACCCAAAAAAGCCGTCTATATATACATATATCTATTTTCAACCACTTAATATACTGCCAGAACTACGAAAAGACGAACGAAGAGGCCCTTATTCTCTTTTCTCTGGAGTTAAATTTTTGCACGACGAAAGCGGCTTACGTCTTACAGAATTATAACTCACATTCTATTTATTTCAGCGATGCCCTGACATATGTCATCTTTGTTATTTTTTAGTATATAAAGGAAACAGTTTTTCTGAATCCTTAGAGCGCGTTTTCACTCAGCTCAATAAAAGACCATCAAGGTGTGATTTTGATTATCATGAATTTGTGGGCCCAGTTCGTGCACAATCTGGCCATAGTGAAGTGTTTGCAACACTATTATAGGTTTTACCAAATATAGGACCCCTCGTAGGGCAGAATTTCGAATATTGTTAAATTCCGCATTGGTAGGCTAGCAAAATCCAAAGCCCGGGCGTTGCATCGATCTTCCGCTGTGTAACGATGTAACATGTTCTCACCTGTTTACCCGTTTATAGCATAGCCGTCAAAGAGGACATCTACGAAATCATTCTCGGGAAGATTTTTTTTTGCTGAAGGCCAATTTTTCTTCCATGAAATCATAGTATACGTCAAAAAAAATTCAGGCAATTTCACATATTATTTCAGAAGTCGTTCTAGATCGTCTACTAGTTGATTTGTAACGAAACGTCGTTTATTCGAAACTGGTAGAAACCCAATTATGATTTTTATTAAAATCGCCACGTGTATAGTAAAAAAAACACCGAATCAATCAAGGAAATGCCTATATGCATGACATTATGTAGCAGCGGTTATTGGGTTGAAACCGAATATAGACATGTTTTTGTGATTAAGATAAACACGGTTTGTGATAAACTGTATGAATTTAAAATTTCAGTCTGACACGACGCCAATAAAATGAGCGAGATCCTTTTGCTTTTTTCGTAATAATTATTGCCTTCATCCAGTTAGTGCCTTCTGAACGAAGAAAACTCTGTACGGCAACAATGCATATCCTGACGTGAACGACAGCGTGCGCGAAGGAATGAAATTTCCGCTTATGAAGAAGAATTTTTAAGTTACCTATAACAGTGGGTTTAAACCTTGAAAATCATTGTTGTTTTGTGGGGCACGAGGGTCGAGGACCAAAGATAATCTCAGGCTTCTCAAATTATGAAGAATATTTGCAGGTTTTAGTCTAAAAAAAAGGTCTATCCCTCTCCGTAACGAATTACTTAATTACGTTATTAAATTGTTACTTCGGCAAGCGGCCGCTTTTCAACTTCAAGTGTTCATGTGAGGCAACTCCGCTCAACTTCTTCTATCGAATTATGTAAAAGCCGATACATACTACGAGAAGCCGAGGACGGTAGACAAACTGAAAACGCCGGTGCTGCTATTCCGGGGAAAAACCCAGAAAAAAACAAAAACTGGGTGCAGGGAATAGCTGCCATAATGAAAGCCGAAGGAGTTCATCTTATTGATACTGTACTTTTTAAATAAAATTTTAAATGTATACGGTTTGTAATAAATAAGGACTTATGTAGCTGTTTTTTGGTGGCGTCGTTTGAAAGTTGCTTTTGACCAAATGGCTCTCCCGATATATTGAGGGCCTCCATGAAAGCAGGCCCGAAAGGAAACTGAACTCAACAAGTATCGGTTCGTATATATGGATAGAATTAAGGAATAAATTTCGTTGGTTTCATTCCACTGTTAGGCTGAGTTTGGCAGATATCGTCTCACAGTGCTATCTACGGTAGCAGCATGCATTGCGATGCAGAGAAAGTTGTACAGCTGCTTGCGTCTGTACTCCTTTTGTCCACCTTATGTCGCAAGCTTGTTTGAGCAGAGAAAGTATTTTTTTTATATGTATGTGAAGCGGACACTCAGAGACGATTTTAGTCTGTTTACGCGAAGAGTTCTACCCACGCGTATGATTACATCCCTTTTAGCCAGTTGTTGGAAGACCTCTGTGGCAGGTTTCCCCGAGCTAGTTTGTCAGATTACCGAAGATGTTCAACAGGTTCAGAGAAAATACATGAATAAAAGTCTAAGAATAAGACGCTCGTCTGACATCTTCCTTCATCCTCCTTGTATGCATTTACAGCCGGGCTACCGCTAAATACTTTTGTGCCCCCTTGCGCGTAAGTCTTGATGAAAATAACACATCTGGGGGAAAATAAGCTTCTCCATTAGGACCTAAGCAATGGATAACCTTGTTGGACGCTTATGCCAACATTGGTTGATAATTGGTAAAACAACGCGTGCCAAAAATATCAGTTGGCCAGTCGGAACTGCACTAAGATCATTTCGGATCAGATAAGGCAACGAGCGAGCGGACGAAATAGATCAACAATCACACCTGAATCTATATAGCTGATAAAATTAGTATGGCGCAGCAGTTCACTACCAGTCGAATATTTCGCTTATGATATTAAGTGTAAAAAAGATGATAGAAAAGAAAAAAACCGTTTCCAGCCATTGAAAAGACACGCTAACACTGCGCTATCACGGAGAGGCTTAATTAATATAATGTCGGACTCAATGCTTGCGATGAGATATAACATTAGTCAACGATACACAATCAACTGTTCGCAAATTGCAATGCCTCTACTATAATTTAACACATATGATTTCATATGGTTTCACACACAGTTAGTCAATGGTCATAGGCAAATGAGTAGTTACGCCTTTGGCTTTTGTAAAAAAAACAAAAAAGAAGTTCACGGGAGAAAAAACCATCGACTGGAATGAAAATTTTCATTAGGTTGCTGAGGTAAACAAGCGGATAAGCGTCCCGAATGGCTAATATAAATGGCGATCTGTTGATTCAAGCTCAAATAGTAGCAATCACGTTTTTTGAGGATACTATGTCTTGAGCACAATACCTATTTAGTCTTAGTTTTAGCACATATAATTTATTAGTAAAAAAAAAAAGAAACAAACAAAAAAAGGGCAAACGAGGCAGGGGCTTTGCGTAACCCACTCCGTTCTTTCCAATGAGAAGATATTCAATTTAAATTGTTACTCTGTCAAAGTTATAAGAACTATTAGACTAGACACTCGCTTGATCGGATTTTTCTTACACAAAATTACGAAAGGTGGAACTATATAGGACAGATAAATATTTCGTCCCATTTTTGTTGGAGGATAAAAACCTCAAATATCCGATTTATTTTTCCATTACTAGTTAAAGCTAAAAAAAATACCTAAAAATAAGTCTTGTAGTAGTTACATTGAGTTTTGCTACATGACTACTCATGAGCGCTCACACTTTGAGCATATAAGGAGCCGGATGTCGTCGGTGCTAACCTTATAAACGGTCTCCGAATATAATAATTCAGCATGGTAGAAATGCGTATATATATGTCAAAACCAAGACATCGTATTTTCGCATCCGTTGTACCGCATGTCATTGCTTTCAATAGCGTGTTGCATGCGACTGCTTTTGAGAGAAATGTTGATGGCCGTGTCCAGATGTTGTCACCATATTCACCGTATAGTGGGAAATCAGAACTTATCATGGATATATAGTATGGCGTAACTACTATCGTTGGCTTGCAAAACGATGCGTACATTGTTACGATGCGCAATTACTTCAGCTATTTAAAATCCAGTCTCTCATAGTAGACAGCAGTACATATTGTAAACCTTGACAGTCTCTAACTATAATTATTGCCTTGGCTTTGTTCAATGATAGATTTTCGGGCCCGTTCACTTTGCGAGGCTATATTGGTCAGTGATATGGACACCCTCGATTGGTATCTTTTTTTAACTATAGCAAGTCTTTATTTTTTGTTCGTGCCGTCTGTTGTTTTCGATTCAAGGCCAACTTGGCATATAATCTCGCTCTCTTTTATTCCATCCCGGAGCGCTCGTAAATGTACCATAGTACACTGAACTGGAACACGGAAGATAAGATGTAGGCTGAACACCGACCAGTAGTTAATGAACTATTTCCAACGTGGCAAAATTATGATTTTCGATTAGGTCTAACTTTGTAAGTTAGCCGCGATCCGTTCAGTCGAGCGTGTACGTTCGACTTGAAAAAGAAAAGATCACAAGAACTGAATTTAGCCAACCTACCATTGACAACGGTTCACTGCGTCATTAACAGTAGCAATTACGCAGATTTCTGCCATGTATACGAAGGAAAGATGATGGAAAGTTCCTAGAAAGTACAGCTGAGAGATCGCAAGGGGGCACTACTTACCTTGAATCGTTCAGGTCCGGGCTCTCTCAGATGGTCTGGTGTCTTTTTCAACTCGTATGCATATACAGTGTGTCTAACACCCACGACACTGGTCGTATAGCTATTTTAGCACAAAACTAAGAGGACAAATTGATTTTATAGCAATGACGCATACCTGTCTCTTTGTTCCGGAATAACTTGCAGAATTTGTTTTTCGGACGTGTTCGCCGGAGGGAACGTGGCAACCTGCGGCTTACTTGGGCTGTTTCAGCGATAATTACCTGGAGTACATCCAAATTATGTCCAGATCTCTGCGGAAGATCAAACGTGTATCTTTCATAGGATATTCAACCTCTCTCGTTCTTCTTATCGCTGCATTTATTCTGCTCGTGTCATTGAAGTAAGTATCGCAGCATAGTCATCTGTGGCCAATATTTGTGTTTATCAGATTTTCTTGATGAAGATACATAACCCGACATAATTGTTGTTGAAGCACGTCTTCGATGTTACGTTAATCTCCTTCGATCCTGAATCGGCAAAGATATCGTTTGTTATCAAACGTAATTTCGATAGCCGATAGATAGAAGCCTTGTATGATAATGCAGTGTTCGAAAACACTGCATTATCATACAAGGCTTCTATCCATAGGACGTGCTCAACTCTGGCGTGCATCTGACTGAAGAAACGATGTAGTCCGTCGAGCTTCCATGTTTAAAGTACTACAATGGCGACAGACAAACAATACTTGCCTTGTTTTATGTTGTAAGGAAGGAGGCTGAAGTAACTACAATATCCGCGATAAGGCAATATCCTGCGTGTTCATAACTCGAAGCAGTACTGTTTATTATATATAGGTGACTAATTAATGTTATGTATTGTGAAGTTTCAGACATGATTTCCCAAACGTGGTTTTCCTAGTTTTTATATGAAGCTATAGGCGATATCAACGACTCACAAGCTTAGCAAACAAGGCACAGGAGGCAGATCGATCCTTTACCCACAATGCACGCATGCTGACTAGTATACTACTGCGTGTTCCATAAAGCATCAGATTCGTGCAATATGGTGAATTGGATTATTAGATGTGCAATCTTAAATCTTTGTGGAACACAATCAAGATTTCGATCATCGTCAATAGAATTGCTTTATGATCTATGATCCTTATTTATTTACCCGATAGCTCGCTGGCTCCCTTGTGATAGAATCCTCGGCACGTCAAGTTAAAATAGAGGCATCCTCGATGCCGTATGGAGACTTCTTTGATCGATTGAGGAAATCAATATGGTTGGTGAGGCAAACTCACATCATAAAGCTTTCTTCAAAACACCTACTAAATTCACACAAAAAACCAATGCGCATTTCGTTTTCCATGATAAACAGAAAGTTTATATCCCATGGACAGTAACCAGTTTCTACAGAAAATAATGGCTCTTCTAGCCGACTTATCAAGGAGAATACGATGCCATGCCTATTTATATTGTTGGGGAAGGTTGTCTTCAGTATGTTTTTTTACAGCCCGCTAAAGCTGAGCGACTGTTTCCTGAGATACCCCCGGCTGGTCAGAAAAAGCCGTTTAACTATTAGCAGAATGTCGCAGAAAGAAACTTCTATTTCGAAATCTCAAGGAATCCTGGAAACATTTCCTAGCAGGTGCAATATAGATACACTAAACTATTATCCGTAACTAAAATAACTTATTCTATTGCCGACGTAATATCCGTTTACATTTTGTGTGTATCATACGGTGCCTGAAATGACCCTTCTCCAACCTTGTTTGTCTTGTAACCATAAATAATATATGGCCCAAATGTCTCAAGACACGTAGAGTGATACCAGAACAAAAAGCGGCTTAGATTCTGGAGCGGTGCGTTTCTTAGTGCACGGACCGTGATGATAATTTATATGTACGCATCGTAAACAAGAACATACTATGCATAGATTACCAGATAGAGTAATACGGTACATGTCTGCTCTCGATACCCGAGGTATGCTTCTACGACTAATTTTTCTCTAACTTGCCTGGCTTTCTTTGTCGAGTGGTGAAGTTCACTTCGCCTGCTGCGTGATTCCGCGGTTTCTATGGCTTTTGACTTTTTTACCCAACAATTACTGGTGACAGGTTGTGCTGTTGGGTTACCATATAGTTTTCTATAAAGGGAAGAATAAGAATACTTCCGGACAGGTGTATAACTCCGTTACCAAGATGGTATTAAACTTCCCCGACAGTTGGACTTAGGCCGTTGAAATGGTTCCGTGTAACCCACCGTCTGCCTCAAAGTTTTACTCCGAATCTACGATTAACAGAGTTACGGGGATGATGGTTATTTTATTACGGTCAATAATATCTCCCGTAAAAAACGTCAAATCATGAATAAGCTGGCCATGCTATACCCATCTTAATTTGGAAGACACATACTGACCTAAGATGTGGCGACTTGTATTTTTTATGGGGAATTCAAGGGCATTAAAATGCCGTTCATTTTGACTTAAACAGAAATATCACCAATTCAAATGTAAAGGTGACGCCTTCTAAAAGCTTGAAATACTAAAGCGATTAGGCAACGTACACTCGCAAGGTAACGTTTGTCGACCAACGGTCAGAAACAAACACACAAAAGATCGTAGCCATTTGAAAATGTCTAATTTGAAAAGGCCGTCCAATGAGGACAATGATAGGAAAACGCGAACTTATACAGAACAGACCGCAAAGGCTCACGAGTGATAGCCGGTTCAGGAAAATATCGGAAGAAAGTTTTATATTCATGTTCTAATCACTGCTATTCGCCATCACTACTTCGGCTTTCGGGATAAAATTTATCACTGTATTAGGTTTAAGCTTTTGGGCTTACAGGTACTTTTGTGTGGACTAATAACAGCGCATTGCTTTGCAAACGCTATGTTCAACTACACATAATCGAAACTAAATAGCTTATTTATAAAGAGGGCACAAGTAATGATATAAATTCAGCATAATATTATAACAAATTCGAATCCAAACCTAGAAGTGTCCTACTACGTGTCCGTCGTACTTTTTGTCCTTTGCTCCGCTTTTTTCAGCCTGCGACATGTTTGGCAGTAGAGAGCGTGTGTCTGTGCAACGGCCTTGCCTCGCTTTTAGCGGCTCAGGCCCTCCGCCCGTTTAGGGTAGTACTGCTAGGCCGGCTTAGGGCTTGCTTGGCATCTCTGCTACTATATACATACATATAAGCTTTAAGTATTTCCTTGCCTGTTCCATAGAGTTGTCTTCAAAGAGTTCTAGTGGGATCAGACAAAGGCTTACAATCTTTATGAGACTTGCAATGGTTCGAAACGGTCTTTTGCTCGTCGTATTTCAGGTCGGACTTATGCTGAGCCATTCCCGAGTTGACCAATATACGGTTTTCTCTATTGTATACATTGAATATTGTATACAGCATCGTGCTCTTCTAGGAGAGTCATTGTCTTTTTTTTTTGGTTTCTTTTGGCCATTCCCGCAAAAAGACAGTAAAAAGTGCGATGCTAAAAAATCAGCTAAATGAAATCTTTCGAATATTCGGTGGACCAACTAATTAATCTACGACGATTCAAGGAAAGATGATATACTCTACTTAGCATTAGAGAAGACGCAAAAAAGCCTCCTTGCCATGGCGGTCCAAAAATGAGCCTAAGATCGAACGGTATTTTACGATCTGAGACAACGCCCCAAGTTCCCATAATAGCGGAATGGAGTGTACAGTACTGTGTCGCAATGTGGAAGAAAAATTATACGAACAGGAAGTTTATTAAAAAAGGTATAATCTATATTTTATGATGCGAATTAATAATTTATTTTCTCTATGAATTAACCCAAAATAACCGTGGAATATGTGTAGAAGGTATAAGATAATAATCTCTGCTACTTAATACTAACTTACCCGTAACGATATAAATTAGAAAGTGTTTACAAACTTATAGGGGTTCCGACATAAGAGTAGTATAAAACTGGACAGGTAAACAAGTGAACTTTAACAATATCCCCCCTTGTCTAATGAACGCCCGTTAGAATGTTCAAAGGCCTTTATGGTAAGGGTCACCACTTAACATTGTTATAGGCTTGTATATGTAAATTCTTGTAGGTCACTATTTTATTGATCAGATGCTATTCAAGAGGCGGCAATCGAGTGTGCTAACAAGTGCGTCCCTGCGGATCCAAATGAATTAGGGTGTTATGAAAATCTTCCTATGCCGCGTTAACTATACCTCCAGTACTACGAGCGGAACATGTTACATATATAATTTCTCGGCTTGTTAGAGGCGTTAATACTTCTGGAGGTGTTCCAATATGCTTATCTAAGAATATGCTTCAGAAAGAAAGCAAGTTTTGCTAGGACTATCGCTTGTGCATCTAAACCAAAGCTTCGCCAAGTCCTATTCCTTATATATATTCTTTCCGTGTATATATTTTCCTAAATAAAAGAACATTCGGTGCTTGAAGGCGTCGAAATAGAAGTTTAGGCTAGTTGCAAAAGCCTTTCGCTCCCTTTAGATGATTGCTAGAGGAATAATAGCTATTTTGGGATCTATTGTCTTGTAGAGCCGACTATTTGAATCAGAACATCTTCTAAATATTTTGAAATCTATGTGACAAGTTGGACAAGAGCTCGTTTGAGCTTAAAATCTTTCTTAAAATAGCTAGAGAAATTAGGTCGTATAGATCAACCGCTGATCATTTAATTTACAAGCTAATTACGGTCTAGGGACTTACAAAAAACGTTCTACGGAGGGAAATAGAGCTATATAGGACTATACAGGTCACTCCATTTTTTAGCAAAAAACCTTCAATTTTTTCGAGATGCAAACAAGTCAGGTATTTATCACAATTGGCATTACTGGAGATTTTGTTCAAATCTTAAAACGTGTGCTGCTTGGAGCACCTAATTATTTTCTTTGCATTTCGTCAAAACTAGGCATAATATTGAGTATCAGACCTTCATGTGGATCCGTGGTAGACGAATTATAATTTTTTTACTTGCCTAACTTGGCGCTAAATATCTATAACGTATTATCTTTATGTATAAAGTATCTCGTTTAGCCGTAACAACAGCCCCTTCTAAGAAGAAAAGCGTTTTCAGTTCAGTCTTATTGAACGACAAATTTTTTCGCACGAAGTCATTAGTGTCCTATTTACACTCACAAGATGGAGAGATATGGGCCAGAGGCAGAATAACGACATAGCAGTCCTTCTCTAATTGATACTTTCACGAAGATAGACCAACTGTATTAAACCCATTTAGACCATATGATGAATAATCCGTTGACCAGTATTCACTTCCCTGGACATCTGCATAGAGAAAAGTGGAGCTATATGGGACAGGGGCTATATTTGCCACTTCGTTTTTTTTTTTTTTTTTTCGAGCAAGGGAACGTGAATTTTCAATTTAAATGTTATTGGGCCAGAGATTCGCGCACACATTTTTTTCCTCGATCAAATTTCGAAAGATGGGGAAATATGAATAGTAAACCGTTCGTTAGAGTTGTATTGAACGATGAAAAAGCAAAATGACCGCCCCGTTTGTCTACCATGGTTTTACCAGGCATGAAGCTAGGATTTTTGAAAGTAAATTAAAGAAAACAAAGTTGCGTTACATGAATATTATTAGACCAACTTATCTTGCATAACAACTTGTGAACGATATGGGTCAATACGAGGTGGAGCACCACAAGCCAGTGAGTTTCAAGCGTGTATAAAATCTGATGCTGGTGGCACTAATTTGATAGAAAATTGAAGGAACAAAGTGCCTTAAAAGTACAACTTAACTTGATAGAAATGCGAATATGTGTATATATGTCAGGTTGAATTAACACATCTTAGTTTCGCACTCGTTGTAGCACACTGAGCATAGTTAACGTGCCACCTATGTCTTCTAAAGGAGCGTTTGACAATATATTAAGGTAAAGTATTGCTCGAGTAACATAACATTGTCGCCATAATCATTATGACTAATTATTTGTACTACGATCATCCATGACCATTACCTGAGCTGATTTTGGAGCATATCAGTATTATTTCGTTTAACTTCTCGAACGAAATGCAAGTTGTTGATAGGCCCATGTTTAAGCCACTCGAAACCTCATTTGACACCGCGTAGCAGAACTTCATGTGGACCTATGCTAGGTGAGTCACGGACCTTAACTTGGCAATCGATGGTTAGTTCGCATCGCCTTTTCCGATTATGATCTTCACACCCCCTTTGCAGAAGGAATTCTTTAGCTCCGTTGTTCATACAGAGTCATTAGTAGTCTATATAGCCCTAGCTCTGATCCATAAAAATGCCTATAAGCTGCTAAGTAGATGTTTTCGACCGATGTCCTGTTACGTAAATGAACTACGGCGAGCTTATTTAGGTATCCTTCGACAAAGATATTAATATAAGGTTTTTCTTTTTTATGGCACCGGCTGTTTTTAACGATAGCGTACAGGTTTTGGTTTATATAGCCACATCTTACGCTATTCAGATATTATACGATGCTCTTCTCGTTAAATAGGTGGAGATACTTTGTGTACTTACCTTTCATAATTTGGAACAAGTTAATAAGAAAGCTGATAACTTCGGGCTTTAGAGGCGGGTTAATGTCTTGTTAACGGTTGCTTTTGTTATAACTTGATCTACTTCGCCTCATAAGGCCAATATGTGAAGTGATTAAAGTGTATGCTGGCACTTGATTTATGCGGTAAAAATAACCTTTTTACGTTTTTCATTGTTAAAGATGCAGCTTCCAATTTTTGGTATGAAGACGCTTTATGTATATATATATATATATATATATATATATCAAATATATTGAAGCTTTCAAAAGTTTGATATCTGAAATATTCAGGTTACATAATTGGCAATTTTTCGAAATTATGCTTGTGCCTGTATTACTAATATATTCGAATATTAAGAAAGGAATAGCTACTTGTATTGATTGGGTCCTCTCTCTTTTATTTACTGACCCTCAAATGATATACACCGCTCTAAATGAATGATACATACGGAGATGTCGTATTTCTTGTTCAGATCACAAAGTTTCAAGTTGGGACTCTAAACATATGTATGGCGGGAAGCAAAAACTTCCATGTTGCGTGTTCGACTCGTTATTAATCTTTCCGCCCAGGTCAAAAAGCTGCCAAAACAACTAGATACGGTACGTTCATGGAGGTTTCAGAATACTATTTGAGAAAACTTTGGCATATTAGAAAATCGCATTTTCAACCTGTTAAGAAAGAATCGTCTTAAACCGCATTTTAAACAGGAACATGTGTTAATTAAATCTACTGTAATAATGCAAGCATAATATAAACTGATAAATGAATACAGGTGTACCCCTATATGAGCGAAAAGAGAGTCATTATGAAGCTTTCGTTTTTGCTCTCGTTAAATTGAACCAATCCACTTAAACTTTATGATCACGATAGGAAGGTTGGCGATATGGCTGAAGATGCGGAAGAGCCGCTTCAAGTGATCATTGATTAAAAACCACCCCTAGTGTAGTTCGACTAGAGGAAACCCAAGTGATAGGCTGAGGAGCACGAGCAGTTCTCAGGAAAACAGATATGGGCACCGGACCAAGTCGTGAAGCGGGGACGTAGAAATTTGCGATGAGGGGGATAGACCCGGTTCGATTTTGAGATCGATTAGAAAGAAAGAGCTTTTAAGCGAAGCTCTGGGAACGCTTCCCTTCGTGGGAGAGTGTCTCGACAGTCCAATTACTTTATCGCTGCAGGAAGACTCGACTTCCAGCGAATTCGTATGTGCCAAGCAGCCTCTGCTGGAAGAAATAGGTGACAAAGGGTTTGGTGGAGTATTCTTGAATTGCGTTCAAAGATTGAGAAGATCCGACCTTTTTGTCAAGCTTTTACAGCGGCAACCAGTAGCTTCACATGGTAAGCGGATTCACGTGGTTCCGGACTACGCGGGAAAAGTCCAATATCGGGGCCACATGAAGGCAAACACAACCGTACTTTTCCTAGACAAGAGGATATGAGCTAAGGCAAATACGTACATAGGTGTGGCCTATACGCGAGCACCGGCTTGCAGGAAAAAAAACTAAGCAAGTGCGCTTTCTTTTAAATTGTCGGTAAAGGTGGTTAGCATCGGCGAGTCCATGGGGTTCGAAAGAAAATTTTCCCCCCGGCACGCACCCGTACAGACGGATGTAATGGAGTCAGGAGGTGGTCGGCAGTGAAATCAATAGGCCGTAAGAGATCAGTAGGCTACGCCGGGTACGCATGATTTAGTTGTAATAATGCAAATATAATCAAAAAAAAAAACAAAAAGGGGAAAAATAAACAGGAACGTGTATTGCGCGAGAAAGTAAAGAACCAGGACGAACGGCATCGATTGTTTTTCTTAAAATTATAAATTTTAAGGAACGTAAGAGAGGAACTCTCGTACGTTCCTTAAAATTTTCTGTATTGGAGAAATTTAAAATGCGATTAACAACATTTTACCGCAACTACAAGGCTAGAAAAAAATAAAAAGACCTTGACGATAAATGCCACGATAATTAATTAGATGTAACAACTGATGCGAACTCGGCACCTATCATGACAGAAGTGCCAGGAAAACCATTAGCTACCATTTTTTTACGACAAAGATAACGATAATGTCTAACGTTACTGAAGGTGGAACAGATGCTACTCACAGGCTATTTCGGATGTGGTCCCAGGTTCCCAGAAGGTGTATATTTTCACCTGAGATGATCTGCTTCATTTAAGGTATTTTCGATAGTATCTCAGGCCGTCATAAACGTAAAGCCATTCATCGTATTTAAAGTGCTGTCACAAATTCTTCCGTAGTTATTGTTGCCACGGGAATCAAATGTTAAAAGCCAAATGGACGCGACAAGCTTGAATAGATGCAGCAAGTAGTTTGAAAATTAACAGCACCAGCAACCAGCTTTTTTTACGTCTAGTCTTTTTCTGATGTCAATTCGTGGCTTTTTGATTTTTGCCCCATTCTTCATGATTTCTCCCTTGTGCAGGATTAAGCCCAGCAGCCATGGGGTGGATGGCTATCTCCTTGTTCTGTTTTACCCATTTTTTCAACTATTTTGGGGAAAATCAAAAAAATGCTTTTGGTCCTTCATCCGACGGTTCTGCAAGATATACAAGTAACATATCTATCTAGTTTTGAAAAAGCTGTTCTTATTTAGCCTACGCCAAACGGATAAATAATAAGTAAGTAATAAAAACTTGTACATTGCTCACAGCTATAGTGAATAGTTTCAAGCGCTTGAATTTTAAAAGTACAACTCGTATTTCCACCTAACTCAAAAAGAAACAATTTCTAACATCTTGTCTAAAAGTTGTTTCGGATTATATATGTGGAACTTATTGTTTCTTTGCGTGTAGTTATCTAAAATGGATTCGGTAGCTATCATGCAGCGTGTGTACTTCAAGTAGGGAAATCTACTGTAATAGGTTATATTAAGAGGTTTTACGCCGCAGCTAATTAGAAACGAAGAAACACGTAACAAAGCGGCATTTTTTTTCTATGTAAGCATCGAAATGTTTCGCTTCAACTTGTAAGTTTCATATTGCAAATTCATGTAGGTCTTCCAACCCTTAACGACAAGCTTCCTGTAGAATTTATATGCAGAATTAGTGGTGGGATTACCGCCTGTAATAAGCTCTGTGATAAAGTATTATTCTCCCAAAAAGGATACTCCAAAAAGTTTTAGTCAAAGTGGAAAATGTTTTGTAATTGTACTCTGTTGTGGGGAACTCGATGTTACTACATTCAATTTGTTGATTCGTTATGTGGTTTGTTGTTTAAATTGTCAATTTGGCTATTATGGGAGACTTCTAACATTGATTACTCTTCCTTACTTCTGAATCATTTCTGATTTAATTACAGACGGCTGAGATGCGCGCGGAACAGGTTACATCTGCATTTATTTGGGTCATTCATACTCCGATCTACGGTTCTCGCCACCAAGTTTGTTGCCTTCCCAAGAGGTGTTCAACTTTTCGGGCTGGTATGTATGTTACATACATACATACATATAATCCGTAAAGAAGACGTACGCCACATGCTTGAAAGTCAGTTGGCTAAAATTTTTGAAGGAATCCATCATTAAAAAGTAGTTTTGAGACAGCTGTCCTGTAGCTATCTAGGCACTTACCAGGAATGGATTCCAACTATTTTAGGATGCTTGTTGTCAATTTGACGATCTAGAAGAGGGCACCAATCGATTTAGTTAATGCTTAAAGAGTCAGTTTATCATTCCATCTTCTTCTATAGCGCGATGTCTGTCAACGTTTCTTATTGAATAAAGAGCTCGGCAAAAATGTTGTTTCGCACATGCAACATTATACAGAAAATTATTTATCTATCTACTTGCAACTACCAGAAGGTCCTAAAGGAGAACGAAATCTTATCTATGGCTTGTTATCTGTTTTAAATGCGTATATTAAAATATGACCGCACAACCAACTCGTTGCCATCCAGAATGACCGTTCCTTCTCATAAAAAACGCCCCGCTACGATTTATAAACGATGAAAAAGCCGTTAGTGGGTTATTTCGGTGGCGGAACTATCAGCTTCCGCTGTGAGCGTAGCATGAACAAAGTTTACTAGTGCGAATAAGAACTGTGCAAACGCAGTAGATATTTGCAAAACTGGAAGCGATAGATAACAGTCGCCAACGTTCACCGTTCATAGGTCCTGATACTGCGTTGAAAGTTAGGCCTTACAACCTGTACGTGTTAGACCACATCAAGTGGGAAGGGGAGGGAGGAGGGACGGTAACGAAAACGACAACAGTAAGGGCGACGAGCACTTTTTTGCCCCTACAGTGCCTCTTTTGCCTGGGTGACTCCTGATATCTGCACAATGGACAGCACATCAAGATCAGCATTTGACCATCATACAAAATAAAATCAATTTCAGAATACAATGTTTCTAATTTATGCAATTGTCTACATTACAATATAAAATGAATAGAACCGTACGTATGTATGTCGATGTAGGAGCAGTCTACATTGAATCGTAGTTTGTGCTTTTCGATCTTCAACGATTTGGAAGAAGCTGTAAATTGCGAAGGAAGAAGGATTTCAATTCTGTGGAAAGCTGATCATCAGACATTAATTGAAACCCATTCATATCTCCTGACAGGTCATGTGATTGAAGACTTCTTGCGGGCGTAAAGGTGTATACGGCGAAATCAGGTGTTATTGAATAATAGCATAACATTGCATCGTCCAAAAATTGTTTTAAAACCAGAACTGAAGTAAATATTATCTTTCATATTATAAAATAATAGTACTAAGCTTTGTACGCGCCGTTTTGATCGATTCATTGCATTTAAACTCGATTAACAATATTAAAAGGGTTCTGCAAGGACCAAAGCAGACGTGGTCAAATGGTGCAAGGCTCGGGCTCAATTGATGCCAGCCGGCTAAAAGCGTATATAGCCTGGCGTCCTTCATTTGGAAAACGGCGCTTTTTCTGTATACTAGTTACGGTTAATTTGTTTCAATGCGCTGTCATAAGCTTCGTAGCTGTTAATAGTAGATATCGAGACCAAACATTTTGTTCAGCGGTAGCAATTCATAGTGTACGATCCCTTTTCATCAAACGCGTAATATCATTTTCCTCGACGTCAGCCTGGGCACTGCTACAGATTGTGGAGCAATTTTTTTAATTTTCGTTTTTATTTGCACATTATTGTTGTACGTAATCTAGCTTTCATGACCCGTGACAAACAAATCGAGTTGCGTTTCTGTCAAATTTGGCAGATGGCATACGCTCTAGCAAATTCTCTATGCCGATTTTTACAGGATGCTGCCTCTTTGTGCTGCTTATTCTACGAACGCATTTCGACTATAAACAGTAGATAATTTTTTTTGATAAACCTAGACAGCGATTGTGCCTTTGTCCTAATAAAATTGTAGAACATAACTAGCGAAAATTTCCTTCCACTCCCTTAAGTCTGAATGGAGGTATTTCCACAACTTCAACACATTTTTTTACTGCCAAATGTACGCTTTCGAACGACGCGACTCATATTATCGAAGACGCACGGCTTTACAGCCATCTAACTAAAAGAAAAAAGAACAATCAATAATATTAATATTATTATCGTTACCTTAAGGAGGAGAGAGAAATTATGGACGGTTGTGTAAGGATGGATATCGCTGGACGAACTTTTTACGCATTATGTTTTTCACGGAAGTACTTACTCGATTGTATTAAAAAGTGCTGTGAACGTTATAAACGCAATTCTGTTGAGCAAAAACCATAGACCATTGGCGGAAAACACATTAACAAACAATTGACCTTTTACATAACGAGAGTCTTCGACTCTAAACCCAAACGAGGCTATCGCAGTAGATGTCGACCAACGGTACTTACTGATCATAAGCGTTAGCCAAAATAAATACTCTACCAAATTGAAGCAAGTCTGTTCAGATGAGGCAGGCGGCGAAAGGAGCAGTCAACTCGATAGGCCTCTCTCGGTTTTTCCGACGTCACGGCCCGTAAGGCTTAGTAATTAAAGAAACGTATTTTTCAATCATACGTTCTAAAAAAAAAACTACCGAACAAGTCATATTAAAAAACAGTCGTACGATGCAGTGCTACGGATTTACTGAAAAGTCAAATTTGAAAAGCAGGTCCCTCGAACGCAGAGCCCGAGCTACCCGGAATGGCAGCATGGTTGTGCTTTCATGTGAAATATTCGTTAACGCTTTGTGAGGCACGATTTCCTATTTAACCTCAGCAATTTTTTGTGTCGTTCAGTTTACAGTTTCGAATATTATATTAGCGCGTTATTATTATTATTATTGTTGCTTGTGCTCTAGAGTTATGCGGGATGCCGCTGCTTCATGGTGTTATTTCATTATACCTTGGCCGCCAACTACTGCTGGATTTTAATGGAAGGCTTCTATTTGTACAACCTCATCTTCATGTCGGTCTACGCGGATAATTCCAAAATCACCAAATATGTCACCATGGGCTGGGGTAAGTTGGCAACATTCAATCAACCAGTGACTTAAAAACTAGCTACATATGAACCTAAGGCTCACGTACCACATTTGTGTTACATACATTCATTTTTTTTTGTGTGTTTGATTTTTCCAGGCTTGCCAGTACCCTCCGTATTAATTTGGATCATCGTAAATGCAATCATGAGCAACACTGAGTAAGTGAACCCCTTACTGTTAATCAATCATCCGTCCATTATCCGGATTTGCATTTTTCAGTGCTTTGCTTAATACTGCCAGTAGACCATTCAAGCTACCAGCTTTCAAATACAGACCTGCCATATTTGATATCCCGTATACAATGGCGGAACGGCAGCTTATCGCGTATAAACATAGCATCCGTTTCTACTGTATTCAAGCTCCGCTCCAACAAGTACCTAAGATTTTTAATCAGTTCAAGAGAAATTCGCAGAGCGACAAATGTTATTGTGTGTTTACATTAAGTGTAACGAGTTTATGTATTAGCAACATCCGCGGTTTTCGTTAATACAGCAAGTGAGATAAACACTTCATGCGCATTATATATATTACTACTGTTATACTTACCTGCACGGTTGCCTCGAGTAAACAATAGTTGAATCGTTTTTAAAGGAACTAGGCTGAAGAGATAGAAGAATATCAATAATAGAACGTGTGTTTCATCAAGTCGAACTCTTGAGCAATAGCAAGCAGCAACAAATTTATATTTACTTTTCGTCACTTTTATCAACCTTCTCTCGACGTTTCTTGTCGTCAGAAATTTTCAGCTTTGGTATTGAACAGCCAGTTATTGACACCATCTTCATTCTCAAATGTACAGTTACGAGTTTCATTTCCAATAATTGGAACAGGTGGCTGCCTGTTGGCGTGAGAAAACTGCAGAAGGCCTCCCGCGCAAGCCCCTGCAGGGCAACTATAACGATGTTGGCCATGTGCGGCCTGCTATTGTCGTGCAAAAGAATAACTTTGTCTTGTCTATTTGACCTTCTCTGTCAAATAGCTTCGTTCCATAGGCGCAATTGGACCAAATAGAACCTCTGGTCCCATGACGGCACTTAATCTGTTCGTTCTATTCACGAGGTTTGTGCCAGCCGTTTTGCTTCGAGGGTGCCTTCAAGGGGTCCTCGTCGACTTCGGATAGTCGGGCGGTATGAGCACATTTTAGCTCCAGGATGCCATTTTTGAACGTTGTTAGCGAGCTTTTATCATTAGTCGTACGCATACGATTCGGATATTTGACTGCCTTGGCAGTTGTTTGACTTCGGCAAGAGTAAAGCAGGTGTCGAAAATGGCATCTTTCTTTGTCAGGAGCATTTACTTTTCGAGTCTGAACTTGCCCTACCATTTCACATATCATCGGGCAGCGGGATGATAACAGATTTATTCCACCTTCAAACTGTGTACAGAAATGTGAAAAGGAAGAATATATTTAAGAATATACTACAGCGACACCATTTGAACTACAATAGTTAGTTAACATATAACGCTACGTACTTTCGATCCCTAGTCGGGCGATTCCTCTCTCGCTAGAAGATGTTCAACAAGGTTTCAGGTAAAGCCCAATTCAGACGATCGTATTCCTGAAGTTATTACTTAGTTGAATATACATTATAAGATGAACATACTCATAATGATGGGTTGTTTCATTGATATAAATTGTAGTACGTATCGTTGACAGGCGTTGAAGCGGCGACGTCTCGTCCAACGTATCGGCAGCGATCGCATATGAAATTCATCGGTAGTGCAGACAACTTCTTGGACGTAAATACGTTCGCTCGTAAGGGAAAGGATATAAAACGTACTTAAAATGACCCTATACATGCAGTTAAGGAAGTAATGTGATCAAAGGGAAAACTGAAAGCATATGATTTAGCTAAAACCGCATGATACGAAGTGAGCTAAGTATATTGGGAATACAAACATAACGCACTCAAGTTACAATACAGAGATTTATTTTTTCTCTTTTTTAACTGAAAACGGCTTTCCTAGTAGGTGAACTAAAGTGAACGGTGCCACTTTTCTAATGAGCACTAGAAACAAGAAGAAGGTAACAAAAGTATATGCCATGCAACAAATACACTACGTTTGTGAAGACTACACCTACCGCTGCTATACCGGCTGTTTAAGCATCATGCGAATGTGCGATTATCAGCCACTGTTTTTGCAGGTAACAGCGTTGCTATAAATATAATGTTTGATATATTGATTTTCGTCTGATCCTGCTAACATTTTCACAAATCCCATATCTTTTGATTATGTGGCATTCGGGTTCAGTTTTCGATTAAATATGTTTTTTACGTTTAGAATGGCCACGGTGCGAGTCTGTGGGCAGCTTGGCCTATAGCATTCATTGTCATATGCAGTTGTGATAGTGTATCGTTCTTAAAAGGCACACGTTCATTATATTTCAATTTAAAAAAAAAGAGAAAAAAGCACAGAGTAATATCTATAAAATCTCCTTTTCGAATATATTTATTCTTCAGCATTTACCGAAAACGTGTCTGGCCTGAGCATTTTGAAAGGGTAGAGACCTTTATCCGAAACCAAAACTGAATCGTTCGTATAGAGACATAGCTCACGCTAATAATAATTGCAAACCCAACCGCCCGACTTTGCCCCAGGTCAGCTTTAGCATTGTGGTAATGTCACATCAGGCATAGTCCATTCAGTCAATAGCTATCCCGTTGCACTGCTGCATTATTGCACTACCTGTCTAAGACTATTCCATCAAATGATATATTTAGAAAATAAATTCCCTCTTAATAAGTTACTACTAAAATTAATTGTATTTTCATAGGGGGAATATTAGCTTAAAAATAAAATTATAATTTATTAATCATTAGGATTTATTTAATCATTAGGAGTTGAATGAAAAATTGAATTCTATTCTCTTGTTTACATCGGCCCATTCTGATAATGGAGGCTTTAATAGGGTTACAGCCAATTCAAGATGGGCTGCAGCTTGACTACTGACTGCCAGAGTCACAGCAAATTTTGTCAGACAGAGTGGTACTAGTTCTTTTATTTCATAGCTGGCCTGTTGTTACAGTTATTAAATTTTTATAATTAAATGAATTTATGGTTGCCATCTCTCAGGCACTCAAGAGACTCTTTATTCCAGTGTTCTTTTCCCGAGTTCCGCCACATGACACAAAACTGAACCCGTTCTTCCTATTAGTTACCCTGCTGCATTTCTACTATTCAGGTTGACCTCATTCTAAATTAGTCGGTTTTTGTCAAGTGCTGCTTTACTTCTGAGTACAATCTCCTTATGAATAGCTTCCTACGCACTTCTCCCAGTGACTTTATCCGTTCAGATAGTAGATAGCCTCCTCATTAAAAAAAAAGCATCTGTCTCCTGAGTGAGACTTCGAACCCAAGAGACAGAAAATAGGTCGTTGATGTCATCAATAGTAGATGGAGCTTTTGGCTACTTAACATTAATTTTTTTTTAATCTTTATAGAAATATCACCATCCGACACAAACGATATTAAACAACAAGTGAGTGCTCAACGGATGCGCAATTATATCATTTTATCTTTATGTTGAGGTTGAAAACCTAACATGAAGGCGAATAGATGACGTTCGACTTAAATTTGCAAATCGTTAATTCATCCGATACTTAAGACGTAACGTACGGCTTCCATTATCAAACGAAGGTTCGTGATCCTAGATCACCATGTGTTTTTAAACAGAGAAACACGTTAACTGCTGCGGTTTCATGGCAGCAGGTTGATTCGTCAGGCCGATTCACCGCAAACTTAAGGACTTTGTATTCATAGCCTAACAGTGTCTTCTCAAACTGCGCCAACAACAAAAAGAAACAATCTAACCACTTTCTGTACATCGATCCTAACTGTATCGTAAGCAATCACTTAGCAGACGCATTAATTTTAATATTATATTAGTTCGATCGTAACGGGTGAGCATACGTTATAGTAACCTAACAATGTTCACTAATCGCTCATAAAAATAGTACGACGATCCAAGTATTATAAATGTTATGTTGCATCTCGTGAACTTGAAACACTATGCTTAGCTTCAATCGAACGTTCGATCTAGCCTCTTATCAATTGTTTTCAAAGGAACGAAATAAAAAGCATTGTAAAAATAATGGCGCTTGCTATGAGGTGCTTTTGACCGACAGTCTCGAAATGAACTTCGAATTTTTCTAAATTGTCTACGGTTGTTTTTCAATGTTGCCAAACAATTAATCATTACAGTTATTCTTCGATTTCAGTTGTTGGGTAACGAGCCCACTAGCAGTGACATGGATTCTTCGTGGACCAATAACATTTTCAATTGTTGTAAGTATAACGAGAATCCAGATTGCTTGAAGCTTATCATTTATTATCTATAAATTTGCAGATCTAACCAACGCTATATAGTTGGGTCGATAATACGTGTTTAATCTGTGAATAATCGAAGGAACGAACGAAGGAAGGGATAGTCATCGTCATGATGGTGTGCGCTCCTTCTACGCGCTTCTGAGCTAGTCGATCACTCAGCCATACTCGTATAATTACCATTCTAATGAACAGAATGGCACACGTGAGCTTTTTGGTACCACTGATATCTCCGTTACAATTTCAGTTAAACTTCTTTTTCTTCCTAAGGATAACTCGGGTGGTATTTTTGAAAATGTCCTCAGCATCCTTTCGGGAAAGTCGACATATGCGTTACAGGTGAGTTGATTAAACTGAATGCAGCTTTAATGGATAATTTAGATTAACGCCGTTCGGCTATTGGCGAAAGTTGAACTTAAGAAATGTTTCTTGAGTAAACGTATCTAAGTCGAAAATCATGCCTAAACATTATATGAAAAAGTGATAATTAACAAAAGGACAGGTTTAATTGTTTAGAAGACGGGATTCACGCCGGATGAATCGACTTCTAGCCAGTTCACTTATAAACCTCCGGAAGTGAGGAGATACTTCACAGTACAGGTCGGCAATGTTTTTTTTTGAAGGACGATTATGTAACGTTAACGTAGAGCTCTTTGTAGATTTCTATCATGACGTACTGGGCCCTGAAATATTTTTTAGTATTGATCATTATCGTTTGCAGCCAATATAGCGTCCTGAGTATCTTTAAGAGTATACTTTATTAAGATAAGCTCATAATCTATTAAGCTGCTAAACACCAGCTCGGCCAATTCTTGACGAATACAGTGAATAGTGAGCAGGTCCAAGTGAATTCCATCACGTCATGGCGTACTACAATCCAGTGAGTGCAGGAAAGAGTACTATTAGTTTCATTATTTATGAAGCCGCATTAACAAGCGACATTTCTCTTCATTTAAACATGAAATATAGATAAAATTCACTCCGAAGCTGAAAATCGCCTATGTTAATTTAATTAGATATGTTTGATTGACTTCAAATTAACGAGACGACATTTTACATAAGCTCGATTGTTTTTATTGAACACAATCGTATGAAATGTTCAACGGAACTCGTCTATCATCATCATTTTGTATATGCTACTGTTAACATTTCATATCTGTTTGGCTCTTGCGCGTAGGGACTTAACCGCTAGGGGTCCTTCAAAATTATTTTCGTCCGGAAGCATATGAACAGCAGCAGGTACTGATAATGGCAAAATTATTGTTCTTAGTATTACCTTCCTCAATGCTGAGTTCAGGTTAGGTTAGTATCGGCCGTACGAATATCTGGATGAACGAAACAGTTTTAAGGAAAAGTCCGCTCTATGAATTGTTGAATATGGTCTCGTGATGCCGGCAGTATACACGTATGACTTTGCATTTGCAATTTCCCATGAAGACGGCACGGTAGATCCTTAGAGGATCAGACCTCCAGAGCAGCTCAAGAAAGACTTTGAAACTTGTTTGAAGCTTTCCAGATAAGATGCAGATACAACGCACTAATCACAAATTATCTTTCGTGCTATAAAATTCTGCACTCTGTGTGTTAACAGATCGTTAATCGGAAATGTTATGTTTGTATTGGATACTTATGCAGGCTTGGCGCTGTAGAAGACTCTACTGTTATTACGATAATGAGGTCATTTTTCATATAATTTGAGTTTAAATCAAACGTTATTTAGTCCGATTGGATAATAGGTTCCTGCGGTCTTCTGTAAAATTTACCTGTCTTACTTGTCTGACGTTAACTTGTGATATACCGTTAGAAAATGCTGCAATATCACCTTGGAAGGATTCGTCAAAGGTGGATGCCTCAATTGGTAGGAAGTGCATTTTTGATATGTTCTATATATCATTTGTCCAGTGTACGATAATGTCACTGTTGTTGAAAACACTGTGCAAAAGTAGCCTGTCAAGTCTCAAAATCGTGTCCATGACCTGGAGGATGCCCCCGCTCTGCCGGCGGTATGAGTTTAATGACGCTCATCTAAAGGCACTTTTGAAGGAACACGGCCGACAGACCACCTGGCAACCGGCTGAGAAAATGGTCTGCAGCCACAAGACTGTTGTTAACCGTCTCAAGTACTTTAGGTTTTGCAAAAGCTTGGAACCTGGGTACCTCATGAATTTTCTGAATCCAACAAGGAATTACGGCTAAACGGTGCATCTCAACATAGCGTTCAATATTGAAGTCACGTGGCCGATTTTTACACGAAATTGTCACCAGTCATGAAAAGTGGTACCTGTAACTCTGCATGAACCAGACATCAAAATGAGCGGCCTAGGGTTCAACCGGACCATCATCCAAAAGCGATTATGCTATTGTATTTAGTGGGGCTGCATAGACCTGATTCACTGGTAATTGTTTCTTATGGACTATAAAATTAATCGGCACGCTTGTCTACTTCAGTTACATCAAGACAGCCAGACTATCTACAGAAGGCGCAACAGAAGAGATCACTTGATCTTGTTCCATGGTCACGCACGCCAAACATCGGCAAAAAAAGGACCGCGGGAGCTTACTATTCAACGTGGCACACAAGAAAAGCTATAAGTGGTACCATAACATAGAATAACCAAGATACCGAAAACTAAAAAAAAATATGGAATCTAGAGCTATATAGATTCGCAGAAAGAAATCCTTATACGTCATGAACGAAATGATCTTTTTATATTCCAGAAAATGGTTTCGATCGACGTTGTTGCTGGTTCCTCTTTTCGGGGCTCACTACACTATCCTTTTCATCGTATCGCTTATAGATAATGATCTGGTGCAGATTTACTGGCTTTATATCGATCAAATATTCTCCTCGTTTCAGGTATGTGCATATAGGCCGACATACCTAATATATGTAGATAGGCTTCAGTTTCTAATAAATGTTACAAGTTTTACGCCCGGTATTGCGTTTAAGTGTTGTATCAGATAACAGTAACCTGTAAAACCTAGGACAAGCATTTCGTTATAGTTTGTATTGGATTCAATTTACAAGATGGTAATTATTCCTGTTTCTGCGAAGAGTAGCAGAAACAAACCCATACTTCTAAACAACAATCTTAAGAACTGATCGCCATCTCAAAATAGAATGCATGCTTGCTTGCTTTGGTACTAACTGTAACCCTCAGAATTTTGGCTGAATTTTTCTCTATCTGCTTCAATCTATTATAAAAAATGTTTTGCTCCTAGAGACGTCATTCTAATAAAGTTATTTTTCTCAAGTGGTCACGTAACATCAGCCTTAGGTACGGGTGTGTCTAAAATTGAAAACGCATCTACTCCACCTGCAAACCCCAATTTTTTTCATGACTGTAAGCCAATTTCTTCCAGTTGCATACTCACGTTTTTTTTTTCACCGAACCCGCGGCATAGATTCGGCTTTTCATTTTTATATATTGGTTCTGCCCCAGATATGAACCACGGGATATCCACGAAAGGGCACTTGGCAAAACTGGGTCCATTTCATTCCTCCGCCGAAACCCGCACAGGGCAGGCCTATATTACAAAGTGTCAGCTTCGACGCCAAGTATTGTACGTTTCTTTCTTTTTGATCCGAATATCTCGCCTGGCTTATCTAGTTTTTTCCAACAGATTTATGAAACGGCATACCCCTTGCTGAAAATGACCCAGCGATAACTGCGCCGATATATATACAACTCACGTAAATTCCCACACATTACGATGTTTTTTTTTTTATTTAAGGACTAACTGATCCCCCATATTGACCATAGAATAGATAAATAGAAATACTTATCCAAAAGTACTTTTAGCTAAAAGAGCAATGCAGTACGTAAGAAATATAAACACTTTTATTACTAACAGAGAGACAACTTTGTATGGCTACTAATAAAAGTATAGCCATATCTACGCGAAACAAACCTTTTGCTTACAATGTTCATCGTTGCAATTTCGCAGCGAGCTGGATTAACGAGCGACTCCTCTCAAGTAGGTTGTGTGGGACTCGTAAAGCTTGCAACCTTAGGCAAGTTTATTATTATCTCTAACATCAGAATTATGTTGATTTTGTCAGTAATGTTAACGAGGGCGAAGAGATATCGTACCTTTGAAAAAAACTGGACCGGTAAAATAGGAAAAGTAAACATTTGTTTTGTTTCATACAAGGGAAGGCCACTGATGTGCTCGGTCTGTCCGGTTGGGTGCAGCTAAACTATTCATTTAATTGAATAGAACATGGTTAGCCGTACCCCCAACAGAGGAAAACCTTGAGCAACGCATTACACACGGGAAAGATGGCCTTGGATATAACCACAATAGAATACGATAAACGTGATTAAACGTAACACCTCTATAGATCTTTGTAAAAAGCTACCTCTATAATGGCCTATCACGTTAGCTTAGTATAGACAGCACGTATATTAGATGACTGAGAAAACGATTTATTAGCATCTACCTAAAGCATTCTAAATAAATGCAGTCAGTGGTTGGAGTAGCGCATTCGTTTTTAATCGCGCAGGTGTAGCACTAGGAACGCTTCAGTGTCACGCATCGGAAGATAACAAAGGACCATGATTTACGTATGAATAAATCAATAAAGCGTCGTTCAATGGTACCTTAAACTCTTAGTTTGCGGCCTGGTTAGACGACATAACTGGTCACATTTAGTTGTAAACAACGATGATTCTAGATTATGACGAGTATAGAAGTTCAGTTCTTGCCTATTTAAAATGGACTTCTGGCTATCTTTAGGTGGACAGTAGACATGTGGGCATGTATGTGCACAACAAGTAGATTTCGATATAGATATCGTGCCTAATGTCATAGTTACTCTCCCAGAGTCATCTCGCTAACCATATGACACATGTTAGGCAGCCGAGCCTAATATAGGATCTCAGTGTAGGGGGGTTATATCTAAGGCTTTCAGGAAACAACGTGCACTGGGCGTTCATATACGCTTAGTGACATAACCGTCCCGTATACCACAAGTCATCTTTTCCCAAGAACAACGATGTCTCGCCAAACGCAAAAATCTGTATCTAATCCACTTCCAAGAATTCAAGATGATGCGCCACCCCAAGAGTGTACAGACTTGGTTCCTCTGGAAAAAACAGTTATCGAAGGAAAAAATCCGGAAAAGACAGCTCCTGAAAAAATGGCTTCTAAAAAATCATGTAAGGAGACACCAAACTTAGGTCAAGCAGAAGCCGCTAATCAGAACGTCGTGGTTGCTGTAGAGGACCAGGTTCTGAAAGTATTGGCTGCGGCAACGAGCAGTCGGAAACATTCACAAGATCTCACAATAACGTCCGTCAAAGTTATCGATAACAGGGCTCAAACGCGAGAAAAACGGAACAAACAGTTTAGAGAGTCTGTTAAAAAGTCACTAAACACACAAAACTGGACTGCCGCCGAAGGTGAAAAGCAAGCGAGGACGTCATCCGCTGCTCGAAGTCATCAGGCGTCGAAGCAGCAGTACAGCCTTTCGAAATCTCGGCAAGCCCAGTCGAATACCGTTTATGGTGGATACTCTGAAGGTTGTCAAAATAGGTGCCTGGATTCAGATCTCGAAGAGCTGTCATATTTAATATCACAGGTATGATAATTAGCTCTTTTCATTTAAATTTACGCTGCAACACTTCGTGTTTCGGTGAACATACGTTATTACAGTGACAAAAATATGGCCGCCTACCTGTAAAGTAGTGATCAGAAGATGGTTTTTCAATAGTACTTTGAATTGTATGTTGTTTGAGCCAGTGAGGCGAGACACGTGCTATTGCATAATTTATGTTCATGTATGGGATTGCCTACAGACCTTTAATATTATTTACAGAAATCGCATCACAGCGCAGTAATTTCGCGCTAAGACTCTTTCACAGAACGTTCGCTGCATGCCATATTATAGAGAAAAAAAAAAGAAAGGAAGAAAAGAAAAGAAAAAAACAAAAAAAAAAATAACTAGTAAAACAACCATGATGAATGTAAACTTTTTTTTTACTAAAAAACTTTAACAAAAATCACCTTACAGCGACATTTTCCTAGCCTCGTAATCATACGTGTATAATTGATTTGTCCACAGCGATACGTAACGGTGGACTGACTTCGTCGTTTGAAATTGCAGACCACTATTTTTACAAAGGCTATGACGCACGTTACTAACCCTAAAGGAAAAATTAATTAAATTCTAGCGTTCATTTTGAGCACTTGTGAGTGTTTTATGTTTATAAGTCAAAATACGACCGATAGATCGAGAACCAAACTATCCTAATGCTTAATGAAATAACATAGTAATCACCAAAGTAAGAGCGTAACGTCTTGTATTGTATAGCGTCAATGATTAAATCGCTACGTTAACGTCTTATCTATCAAACGTGCTTTTTGATTAACTGAGCTATAAAAATCGTTCTAAAATAATTTGAAATGTGGAGCAACTAGAATAGGTTCAAATGCTTGCCATTAATAGCTGATCGCATTGAGGACTGTCTGAGAAAAACTCTGTCAAAGATATCAATAGATTTTTCGAAACTTTTGTGATGACAGATGGAGAATCTCGAAAAATTGGTGGTGCGCAAAAGTCGAAAAAAGGGTCTCCGAAGTTTCGAACTCTCGCAAAGTCGGAATTTAATTGCCTGCGGCGGTGGCAGTGCCAACAATGACGTCACCGAAGTCGTTACGTCACCGAAAACCATTACGTCTGCTGAACGCGTATCTGCTAGCAGAACTACGCCGTCTGCCACTGCCGGCACCCCCAGGCCGACTAATGAGTCCAAACGTTTTTTAGAAACGGAATGATTGAAACGAGAACGAAAACTAACTCGTTGGCTATTTTTTGTTTTTTTTTTTTTATGCAAGTGCAAGAAAAACGTCTGCTATGCGTTTGCATGCACGAAATTTGCTAAGTAACTTATGCGTTGCGTTCTGTTGTTATCCACATTACAAATGTGCGTAGCGGTATTTCTGCTTCGTTCATACATCACATAATGTTCACATTGTTAAATTTACTATTTTACACTTATGATGTTCTAGCGGCTTTTTAGATTGCCAGGTTAGTTTGAGTAATGCACTTTTCAAAATATCGCTCTTATATACACCTTACGTATAGATACGGAAAAAAAAAGCTGGCGGCGCAGTGTATACACAATTTTGCGGAGTCGGCGTATATACTATTTTCTGATTGAGTGGTTTCTATTATCGTTTGTTCAAAATTACAAAGGAACACGAAGGACAAAATTTCGTAGCAAATTTCCATATTTAAGCGTCTTGAATCTGCTGGCTCAATTAGTAGGTCTGAGCTTCCTTTTTCCAACGAGATTGTTTGCTTCATATTTCAAGCCTACAAAATAGAAAGTTATTCTATGCTAACGCATATTGCGCTACGTTATATCGACGCAAGTACATACTCGATAGAGGGAACTTAGGTAGGTTAAGTTCCACGCTCCAAGACACCCAGAAGCTCCTATTACGCGTGAAGTCTGCTCAGTCATAGGGCTAACCGGTACCTTACCAAACCATTTTGTTAATATGCTTGATGTAATGCATGGAAAACGTGTTTGGCAATGATGATTGAAGTGTACCGAGCTCTTCGATTATTTTCTAAAGAAATCCACCTGATATAATTATAGTATACACATAACTTGCATGAAACTGTCATGCAGGCCGATCTTTGTAGCGGTAGATCCAACAACGTAAGACCTAGAAGTAAATGATACTAATTGACTTCGCTGTCGCTCATTCTAACTGAGCATAACTTATCGCAACCCAAAGTTTAGCTCTCGAAATTCCCCAATATCAGCTAGAGAGCTAAGTAAATCCTTCCGTAACATTCTTTAGATTCTTATTTGTTCTTGTAAATAATACCACTGTTATACCCTTGGTGGTTGGTATCATTAACAAGTTCTGAGTTATCCTACTAGCATTGTTTCGTAATAGCTCGGCCTAGCTTACATATTGTTTTTATGGAGGTATAATAAATATAAGCTCGGAAGTAACAATATACTACGTCGGATTAGATTTACTTTGTTGTCCTTAAATCACCTGCCCGTTTATCCCTGGGGTACACTCACTGGGATATCCTGACTTTTTTTTAAACTATGAATTTCACTGTCTATACAATTTCTATTTTACTATGATTATTACAATTATTATTCAGCCACAAATGACACGTTCTAAGGACTGTCTGTCGTTTTAAAACGTTTGAATTATCCTCATTGACAGTTAAGACAGTTAGCAATGTTCAAAATGGTTCGTCTTATGGCTTTTATGAACTTGTTTAATTAATTAAAAGTTAAGTAACTAATTTTAAGTAACTAAAAATGTATACATTTTCTTAAGAATTCCCTACATCTTTATAAGGTATGTTAATTATTACATACCTTTTTTAGGTTAATCAGAATAATTTTCTAACATAATAAATAATAAACGACAATTTGGTAACTACAAGTAAGAATAGGAATGTACAGATAAAGTAGATCCGGTGAATCTACTATTTAGAGCAACATAGGTCCTAGAATATAATACGACCAAGATATATAATTAGATAGATGCATATTACAATAGAACTAGACTAGTATGACCGAATCTGCTCGTATCTTGGAGACATAGGTTGCGTCGTACTTTAAAAAAATGTTTATTACACAACTTTTTCTTCAAAGGCATCGTGTAGTTATTCTAGACAGAACGACAGCTTCAAATGTAGCACGTGGTTACGAAAATGCATTGCTTTTAGCCCCTGTCACTACAATCTACTTTGCAGAACTTGTGTACGTTTATCAAAAATAATGATGATTGTTGATAAAATATACTACTATTATCTACTTACTGGGTGCCATTTCTTAGGAAAACGTTCCTTTATTAAAGGGTGACACAATATAAAACCTGCTGTCATGCTAGAAGCGACGGTGAACTGACATTCGGACCGCGGATGAAGTTTTGTGTTCTATACTAGCGAGAAGCGGCAGGATAAGACTGACTACGACGGGTGGAGAATTTTCATAAACGGAATGCTATGTATATCGCACATGCCAAAGCATGTTAAAGGGCCATACCACCGCCAGTTGTGTTGGTAATAGCATTACCAATCCGTCCTTAACTCTGCGTAAAATCGAAGCTGTACATTACAATTGTCGCATCTTCGATTAACAGTGAATGTGCAAAGAGAGAACACTCGTAGTTTAGATGTTTTTTTAGGTACACTAATAATAATGTAAACATTGCGCGATATTCTAGAAGTTAGCTTCAAAATAAAGAGTCCTAATTGTCAAGAGCCAACCGTTAAAGCATCTCCAAAGGTCTCGGCGGAGCCTATAAGCTACAAGTTCGGGTCCTGCAGAGGGAGGCATACTTTCGCTGGTCTTGGGCCTAGGTTGATATACTTACGTAACAAATAAAACACATTTTAAAAAGGACTTTTGAATGCTACCATTTTTATGACAATGAAAAGTGATTCTGTGGCCAGCCTCTAGAGATATGCAGAGGATTTAGACCTCTGGTGTAATTTTTTCTCTAGGTGTACATAAGAACCGATTATAGTGTTTTGAACGCCGCGTCTTTCCTAACGTGTGTTCAATAAGTGTGGGAAGAATTTCTACTTAGACTCAAGGAAAATTGTTAAATTTGGAGAGCACTAAAATGAACGATATATTGGAAACCAAGAAAAACCCGGATGTGCTTGGTTTCAAGACAAAGAGGAAAAATATAAATTTTAGTATAGCATATGTAGTATATGTATATGTAGCCAAAGCATGACGTATTTTCCAGAAAAAAATCCAACCTTTTTCGGGGATTTAAATGAATGAAGAATAAACAATAAGCGAGCAAAGAGTAAAAAGGTTGGATATTAAAAAAATTTTAGCTAATCCTCGAAAGCTTTCCGCTAAAGTTTGTTTGCCAAAGAATATTTGGCAATTTGGAAAGTGTTTAGGCTAGCTATACCGTTTTCCGCAAAAGCGTTTGTCAATTAGGTCATTTTATCGAATCGACTTCAGATAAAGATGTTGCATTATTATCACTGAAACATCGTATGACCAAATCAAAAACCAGACGTACAAGTTATTTTTTACATATGCGCTTCCTACTTTTTGAGTAATTTTAATAAAGTGTCGCGTACTTACTGCAGGCAATTTAGCGCCGGAAAAGTTGAAGTACTTCTAAAAAAAAATGACAATTAAACCACCATATGTCTTCACTTTATTCCTCTAGCGTTAAGTAGATTAACCGTTGTACAAAAAAAGCTATAATTACTTCTATGGAAGGTACACCCAACTAGCAGCGCATGTCAATTCTGTTGTATGTTTGTATGACTTACGCGTTTTTAGGGATCGCTTGTTGCGTTGCTGTACTGTTTTTTGAATAACGAAGTGCAGTCAGAGGTCATTCGCCTGCTTCCACAAAGTCTGAAGGGCAAAATGTCATTTCTAACTCGAAGGCCGAGGACGTGCCAGTCATCGGCTAACTACTCTAAAAGAGATTCCATCTTGCCGCATGTCGTCAGGACTAAATGTATGTAGATACACAGATACTTCCACTTTCGGTATTGATTTAAATCAATCTTACAGCGTTGTGAGAAAAATATGAAATTTTTGAGTACGCAAACATATGTCTGATTGCTTTACTTTAGCTGACGTAAAAAACACAGGTAGTAGGTTTGCTGTTTGTCTAAAACCGTGTATGTCTTTGTCACGTCGACTTCTTTTATATTATCGCCTCAGTTTCTCAGTGTCTGCCAAGGCATCATTCAATGGAAGCGCATAATAGTAAAAGACCCATTTTGTCGTCTGCGGGGCCCGGCGCACATACAGTAAGTTCCTTTTACCCAGAACTAGCGTAATCTTTCCACAATTCTGGTTTCAGTTCCTTTTGCGAAGAAACGCCTGATTCTCAAAAACAAATTGCTGGATACGAGAGACATTTTTCCCATGGAACATAACGGGGAGCTTGTATGAGTCTCAATGTACCGGTATTGTCCCTCTAGATATTTCTAGTTTTCTCCAGTGCCTGATCGCCTTCGCTTACTTGCCGTATTTTATTGCAAGGCCAAGTTTAAGGTTTAACGTTGGAGACAGCATCAGTAAGTTTATTTTTGGAAAATGGTATAGAACGACAGGTGAAATTAAAGCGAGAAACACCATACTAACAGATAAACTAGTTGTAATGCAAATTCTAAGAGATTCATATAACGTTAGGCTATAAATTCTGTCAGCTTTAGGTCATCACTAGAGACATATTGTGTTATTGACTATAGATACATCACCCTGCGACATAGAATCGTGTTTCTTCTGCCTATGTCGCGGTAACCTGATTTACCTTTTATGGCCAAAAATCTAGAGCCCACTATATATATTTAGCAGGAGATTTTCAAATCAATTATATCGAGCCGCTCAAAGCCGTTCGATGTAGCTTTCCCAAAAAGAAACCATAAGCACGCTTCTGATACGAATTTGCACAATGCTGACAATCGAACGGAAAGTAAAAAGATATATGGGGCCATTAGACAATATATGTGGAATAATTTATTCTCAGGTTGTCTTTCCGGTTTGTAAATCTACACAGTACGAACGCTGAGCATTTCTAAATAGATGCTGAGAAATAAACATATCTTTTTGGACACTTGTTCAGTGCTGTGTCGTATTCGAAAAGCGTTTACCTTTGTGATTTATATGAAAACCCATTTTTAGATGAGCGTCGGCAACCAATGCAGGGCGGTTCAACAACGAAAGAAGAACTGGAGCAAACCTGTCTTTGCTCTCTAGATAACAGGAGCCCCCCTTTGAGAGCAGCGAACGCCAGCCTTCACAAGGACAAACAAGGTCATTCGAATGGAGATGTAAGTGGGGGTCGACACGAGTGCCCGCGCGAGAGGACGTGCATTGAGTCGGGCATCTGAAGGGCTGGCTACGCACGATATTGCCGTTTGGATTTTTTTTTTATTTGAATGTCATTTTACTCATTGTACTGTTAACTGTAAGAAGACCATATATTCGGATATAAAACTTCGTTATCAGGCAAGATATACGGAAACGAAGGTTTGACATGCCAGCTCTTCGATCGAACCTCCCTCTTCAATCCGAACTGCACGTCAGGGTGTATCCCATTGGGTTCGTGGCAATATATTGCAGCCAGGTAGTACATATTAGCCGTATAAGTAGATGCAACTGGCGGTGTTTGATGACGGAAACAATTTCTACGGTATCGCGCTTGATGTTTGTATCGCAACTTTTGTATAGCAAATGAATACGATTCAAATCAACATAATGTTCTGCTCGGATACAGCACTAGAGATCGAAAAACGATTGCTTGATTGAACCCACGAATACAACTTGCCATTGCGGATTTACAAGAACTAAACGGCTGTAATGAACATTACCCCGCAGCACCCTCACGCGGTGTCCATCTGGTTGAACTTCAGTTACTTCGTCTGACAGAAAGTAATTCCTCTTGTCTCCTCCAGGAGCTGTACTACATGTACCCATGCTTAACACAACGACATATATTTATTGCACGGAGCTAATTTTTAGACTTATAAATTATGCGTATTTACCATGACCTACCAAAGTCCAAACATCCAACACCTTTAAATAAATAGACTAGAAACACCCAATTTTCCATTATCTATCTAAATGGTCCTATGTTTTTTGTTAATCGTAGATCATTGCAGGCGGATGATATGGCTATGTGCAAACGGAATAGAATTATATGCACCCCATTAGAAATCGTTGTGGATCAGCAATTGCCGTAAGCTAGTGAGTTGTATAGAAGGAAAAAAATTTTAATTGGCAGGTCATTATCTAAATTTTGTTGGTGTACACTTCGCATAGAAATATTTTTTCGAAAATGCACCGAAGCCCCAGAAGCAATCGCTTCGTTTCTGGGCATACCCACTTCATTATTAACGATCATGAAGTGTCAGTGTCACGTGCCTTATGCTCTAGCATGTGATCAGCGAATATATATACTGAACCTCTAGTTGTTTGGTCAACTGTATTTTAGGCGGATAGAAATAAAGCTCTTGTCTCAAAAAACTGCTCTTCGATGGGCCGGGTTATTTGGCCTGACTGAAGTGGCGCTGTGACTTGATCGCCCTGTTCATAATCTTACTGGCCTCACGTTATCTATGAGCAGGTCGACTTCTACAACACCAAAATGTCGTTTGTGTTCTTTGGGACGCTATGATCCATTCGCTATTCAGTTTTCACTAAGAGCAAACCGTTGTTAAACCGCTCGACGGCCTTCTGACACGAGTGACACATGAAATTCTAGGCAGATTTATGAGGCACACTTTATATATATACACACACACACACACCAAAGAGCCCCTTGACCTTTGCGCAGTTCGATATATTTATTGATATTATGATATGATCTCAGTCGGTTATTGACAGGCCGTCTACTATCATAGGCATCAAAATTTCAGGCAGTCGGATCGTTTTTCTTGTTTTCAACAACAGTCATACAGTTATGAAATAATATACACTATTTTGAACATAAGTACAATGGTTTAGCAATTTGTTTTTACAGGTACATACTTCAATAGTGTTGTGCAATGTAATAAAGTCGCTGAAAATTTTCCACGTGACAGCTGACGCAATGACCAGTGTGGGATAGTATAGCATTGCGTATCAGCGTGGCGTCTGTGTGAGAATGTATTGGACTGCTGAGGACGTGAACGCACCTAAAACAACTTTGCTGCTATCTCACTAGACAGATGCCTTATTAAGAGATTCAATAGCTAACCGCGATTAACGAGTAACTAAATTGAATTCCCTTACCGTACCTATGCAATTTGCTCTGACCTAGATTTTCCGATCTCACTAGCTTTACGTGTTACAGAGTATCGTCTATCACCCAGATCATGCGTGAATTAATTACATAACAATTCGTTGTTACTCTAGTAAAATTACGTAATATATGTAATGATTTGATCCGCGGACAATAAAGCAGGGAAGTGCCTTGTGTATAAGAACGGGTCACGCTCTAAACGCGGATTGCGAGGCTGATAGACAGCTGCTTTCACGCATGAACATAAGCAAAGCTGCTGGTTTTCCCTTTAGAAAAAGGAAGGAAAGAAAAAAGCAAGTATACGAACCTGTCAGTTCGGAATGACCCTAAAATCAAAGACAAACACGCTCATTTGTTTGATTTCAAGCTACATAAAGGTTGTTTGGTGCTTGTGAACTACCATCAGAAGCGTTGCAAATTACGCGTAGAGCCAATAATAGGTTGAGCACTGATACAGAATTTTTTAGCTTCTATTAACACATTAGTAGGCATCCTCCGTGATTGAAACTAGTACCTTATTGCTCAGTTAATTTGCCAGACACTTGGGCATCGTTGTACATATGTAGAGTATTATCGAAAAGTAATTCACCGTGTATATAACGACGCATACACGCATGTTCATACACAGATCATCAATATATAAGAGTGAAAAGTGCGCGGAGTGATATCAACACGTCTACCTACTCCTGTCTGAGCACTAAAGAATTACAAAGTAACATAGATAGATCAATATAAATAGCATTTTATCCTCGATAGAGTAATATAAAAAAGGATAAGCTACTCTGGTGGGGCAAAAAAATTCGCACGTTTTTCTGGTTGCAATACGCGACATCTTTAGGCTCTTTAAACAGATACGTCTCGTTAATTCAAGGACTACCACTTCATTTGTTTTTATGAACAGCGCAGTAAAATTTCCTGTGACTTTGTAATAATGAATAAACTGTTTTCGAACACCTGGGCCGCCTTGGCTTACGGTAACTTTATACAGTGATTGTTCGCTTTTTATGTTAGTGCTATGAACTTAAAAACCATTTTTTCATGGAAAGAACGTATGCTAGCCCTTGAAGGTCGCGACTTGAATCTAATGTCGCAAACATTTATGTTATTAATAGTAAATTTGTTCGGATATTATCGAAGCGGAGTGAAGGCTGTACCAAAAAACTTTCGCTCTAAACATAATGAACAGCTCTTAGCATTTTTCTTACTTTTAAAAACCAAGACGCATTCCTTTCCATGGCCAAGACTTAAGTGAAAATTTTACCTAAGCACTCTTAGATGAAGTTATCATCTCATTATTAGGAAGCGAGTTTATAAATAAGAAACTTTATTACTAAAACGGAAAGCTCAATTGTTATTTATTTTTATGTACCATGTTATTTATGAACTCCAACTTGTTCAGTTCGCTGCTATACAAGTTTTGGGTACGAGAATTTAAAAACATTCGGCAGGCAGCTTTAGCTTGATTTAACGCTATTAGCGAGAATTTTAATCTGTGGTGCTAGTTTGGTGGATATGGGTGGATAAAAAACCTCCAAATGTACCTCCCGCATTTTTTTTTCCCGTACCATGATTTTTGTTGTGTGAAGTCGCGGAAGAGAACTCGTCAAACTTTAACCAAAAATCTTCGTTGTTACTAGTCTATTCCTTTACTTTTCCGATAGTTGAAAGCACATTTCAGTTGTAACTTACCAAGCAGGGCTCGTGAAGCTGTAGTAGATAATACCTGTAGTCAACGATCAAGTACGTTATGAGCTATTTGCTATATATCTAGTTTAAGATAATGTCCTGCCACTTAAATAGCATCCACCCACAGATGTGACCATGCGTAAATTTTGCAGCAGATACATTTCTGATCTTAACAAGCAATTCAGGTACATAAACAGCGATATCTGTTGGGCTAGGCCAATTCAGTGTTTCAGGTTTTAGAGAACTGAAAGGAGATAGGCACACTTAACTGTACCTAATAAGAGTTTGTACAGCGCCTCCATAAGCGCGCAATATTTGACAGTGTAATTCAAAAGATCATAGTTCTTTCACAAAATTCCCAGAAACTGAATACTCTTACTTGTTATAGGTCGTGATTTTCAATAGCGAGAGAATATCTTCAAATGTAAACGTTTTTATATACATACATGATTTATCGTAATAAGGTAGCTTTACTTTTTACATTGCAACGACAATATAACAAACTTAGGTACGGTCGTACACCTAAGACTGGTAGTCTTAGGTGTATAGCGGGAAAGGATCTTGCTTTCGATTTCTAGACTGCGCTTGTCTACTTTTCAAGTCTACAACTTCAAAGCATAACGATTATGTATGTCATCAAGCTTTTCGAACGTTTTATATGTTTGCTTAATTATTCCAGCATCCTGTCAATATAAAAGAAAAATCCAATGACCCTACGAGGTAAAGGAGAGGTGGTTTCCTGGATATACTTCTGTTCTGTTGCTGACCGAACAACTGCAATCTTAATGCTGTGCGCAACAGGACAAGGCGCGCAGGGCTTCCAAGCTAGCTAAATCTTGTCTAAACTATCGTGTGTACCCGAAAAAAAACCTTGCCCCTAATAGCTCATTTCTGTTGGACTTCATCGGTTATAGTTAGGGCATTAGCTACGATAGGATTTGTGATCTTCATGAGGAGAAATCGTGATTACCTGCAAACGCAAATCATCATGATCGCATGCTTTGGTGGATCAATTTATACCATCGTATACTGTAGTTGTTAGTCAATTATATTAATATTCTAGCGCTTTGAATTTTAATCTTAGAGCTCGAGTGGCACAGACGCTCTTTTTCGGTGCAGCTCCTTTTATACTAGCTACTAAGCCTCGTTTTAAGGGCCATTTTCGGCGACATGGTTTGTCTTCAAAAGTGACGTTCAATAATAGCTCGTATTGGCTTTTTTCTAGCATGTGCACCCTTTTATAATACATTGGTATCAAAGCTCTCAGGGTTGGATAATAACAAGCTTATCTAGAGAGAGGGAAAGGAGTTGCACGTTCTCTGTCTATAGGTTACCCCGTTGGCGGTGATAAATACTTCACCGATATCATGAGTACAGAACGCTTCTTTCTGGACGAACCTTCCAATCGTTTCTTAATGTCAACCATTTACGAAAGATTACTCTAGAGCATTGCTTAGTATTTCTATCTTATTCAGGTTCCTACGAACACGAAGAATGTCATTGCAATGGTTGGACTAACACGTGTCTTTGGCTAGCGATTCTAACCGTGCGTACATTGCAATACAAAACAATCCGCGGCCCGGAATATTTATATTCTATTTTATCTGTTACTTACTGAATCTATTATTCTATATGACCCCGCATGTGGTGGTCTTTCACTGCTTAGAAGCAATATTTACACCTAATATAATATTTTACGCACTAAGCACATACGTGATTTGATACTATCTACATATATGTAGGCATCATTTTTAGAACCAAGAGAAACAGCGGCACACAGGGTCTCCGAATGGTAGCTCTAGCCAGTATGCGGTGAAAAGATTACGTTATTATTGTGTATCATCTTTGCTACTGTTCCCTACACCTTCCTCTGTGCCTTTCGGTCTAACGGAAAAACAAGAAGAGGATACAGACTGAATAGGATATTCAGGTCTCTATATAACACCATACTCTTTCAAAGCAATCCATACTATCGACCCGGTGACAATAGAGTTAAAAAGGAGGGCCTTCCAGGACCGGCACAGGACGTCACTCGGTATGGGCCTTACCGATTTTGGCTCAGATCTCCGCCGATAAGGGTCTCGTTTCAGTTTTTGAAAGGTCCTATGAAAATGTTTTTTTCTTGATATGTGATCTCTTGCTAACAAGTGCATTGTTTCTGAAAAATGGACTCGAACTATAAAACACAGGTCACCGTTTCGATGTTTTGGTTTTACCTACTTTTTTTTTTACCTATCGAATACAATCATCATAGAAGTTGTATATTACTAAGTATTATGATTTATCACTAAGCATAAAGGAGCGAAATTCTCCAATAGAGTCAAACGATACTGCTTTATGCACGCAGCGATTGTCGTGTATTTCTCCTACATGAAAATCAATATGTGTTGCGTGTTCGGTTTCTTTACCGAGTATCTTGAGAGATTTACCTGTCGCCAAGATAATTAGAAGATTTCCAAATGCATTGATAAAACGCCGTACACTTCAGGTAGTAGCAAGTGAACGGCCGCCGGCAGTCGACATCAGCCGATGGACCATTTATTAGTAGCTTAGTTGAGTGTTCGACCAATACTCACTAGACGAGCAAGGCCTTACTTTACGTACCTGTTTTTTTTTTCTATCAACATCGATAAGAAAAAAATAATCGTAAACTCATATAAGAAATGAACGTGTTCTTTTCTTAGACCTACTACGACTATCGTATGTTTTTGCTCAACCAATTTTCATTAGTATACTGAGATTGGAAGTATAACGTCCTTTGGGTCCTTGTCTATTCTCAGCTCCTCAATCGAAGCAGTGGTTATCGCGCATTCGCATTAACTTCAAATATATATATATATATATTATATATATTATATATATATATCTATCAGTTGTATACACACACACTTAGATTTTTCGTGGAAGAGGGAATATAATAGTTTTGTCGTCCCACTGGGAAAACGTGTTTACTGAGCTACGCTGCTACCAAAAAATATCGATCTTAAATTTTGAAACACTCATGGTCAATTGTGGTACATTTTAGATAGCGAAGCGGTCACAAAATTTGCTTTTGCATCTATCGACTGAAATGGATTTCATCCCCTTTCCATGAAAAAAATCGGCGTGTATTTAGCTCTCGACGATGACGGCAGTGAGAAGGGTGTGTGGAACCTACCTCATGCGGTACGTTTTCTGCATTTGAAGAATTCTCTTAGTTGACTTTTAAATAATCGCTCTTTGAGGCTGAAAGCATTTTGAAAGTATATTCATCGTCGTACGTAATTGTTCGCTCTAAGAGCGCCTAAAGATGATCAAAAGTCGGTCAGTGGAGTTAGCTTGGGAAGCGCACTTGTTGCTTTTTTTCAAAGCTGCCTGCACCGTAATCCTAAGCCAGTTTAACCGTTCATCGATTACCGAATAGTTTTCAAAATCTCAGTACCTTATAATGATTGGCTTTAAAAATTGCTTCGGATTTTGCGATTTGCCTAACTATAAGACGAAACTGTCTAAAACATTCCCTCTAGCTCCATCGGCGTTCTCAGTGCTAAGAGACGGCTTCACTTCATTGATAGAGTACATATACAGTAGCTGTACACATACGCTGTTCTTTTTTTTCGTAGCGAGAATGGCAGGGACTTTCTATCAAGCATATTTTCTGTTACATCTGTTAAATACAACGAAGCAACAGATCCGTTGCTAGTTTGGCTGTGACCAAATACGCCTTGAATCTTAACTTTGAGTGCATTTCTTATTTTTAACATCAGTTTAATAACAAGGGCCAGTAATAACATGGGAAGCTATGACAAAGCGAGACGATTCGTGTGACGGAGGTAGTGAGCACTGTGACCCCGCCATTAGAAATAGCAGACACGTCAAACCATTATTTGCGTATTTTTTTTTTGCCATGAACTTGTTTTCGCTTCTGCTGTAGCGGAAAGCTTATTCACTCTGTGCATGCTACTCCATCTAAAAAAATCGCTAAGGTAAGTATTTCTACTTCGCGAATTTGCCGCCGATTAGGGCCTGAACTAGGCCACACCCAATTCTAGTAGTACGTTTGAGCAAAGCTTTCTGTGTATTTGGATCAAATCTTAAATGAAAAGTACATTATATATCCTTCAGTCTTTTGGCTTTAGAAGATAGGACTTTGATTGAATTCGAATTTTCAAACGATTCGGCTGAGTTATACCGTGCAAAAGATAAGTTGTATTTAACGTTTCTGTTTCACCATAAACACCAGCTCTAAAAACTCAACTTTGATCCTTAATAAAGATAGTGAAACAAGTCAACGGAAGGAAACTATCAGTTTAAGCAAGATATTAGATTTTCCTTAAGCTATATAGTATCTAAAGCTTTGCAGTCTGTATATTTCTCCCTAAAACTAATTTTCTCCCTTGCTGAACGTCTCTCAAGTGAACGTATATTATGCCAACATTACGATTGAAAACTACGAGACAAATACTTTAAACATAGAAATCACCAGGCAATCCCGTAGAAAATTGTTTATCTTTTAGCCGTTTTTGATGAATTGAAACGTCTGAATGAACTTCAGCTCACTATTGTCTCATACGAGGGTGATTAGAAACGTCTTATTCAATAAGTTACTATTGAATACAGAGTGAATTACTAATTTCCGTAGAAATAAGTTAACGTTTCAAATTTACGCGCGGTCGACGCTTTTATTTTGACAAAACAAGAAAGGACGAGAAGCTCTGCGAGTCGTTACATCACAACTTGAATCTATTCTCTGCGACTAAATAGCGCGGTTGAGGCAGCATCGAACAAAGACAACCCATACAAACCGTTGTTCTTTGTGACAGTACTTAAACGAATTAGAAAAGCCTCGCACAGGAGCGATGAGATAACGATTGGCTGCTGGAGCTGTACAATATCAATCGGTGTCTACGGTGTCTCGTAGGTGACTGTCAGACTATCAGTCAGTTATTATCAGTACTTGCCAGCGGTACCCGTTATAGCAGTATAAGCTTTGCCATCTAAATCGGCAAAATGACGCGTCTGCATTAGAGTTTTCCAGTGATGTCCGAGCGAAATCTTTTACATGTCCCAAAAGAGTCATTCCTGGCAGCCATAAACATTCAATGTAACCACTGTTAAATTTAGAGCCCACTACTAAGCCGTGAATCAAACGCTATTCGTTGGCGCTAGCTCGTTGAAGTGCTTGTTGCATAGAACGTATGTTGAACTGCGAATAGACCAAACGTCCAAAGTTAAACAATATAAAATGATTAGGAGATCAAAATCAAAAGGGGCGAAAATGACTTGTTGGCGAGTGATTGTTTTATTTTACAAAAGATTGACTTCCTTCTGGCACGAGCAGTAGCCGACGAACGATGCTTATTTCAACCCAGAATTTGAACGAAAAGTGTCGTGAATGAACTGTCTATTCAATATAGCTTCGGCTTATTGCAATTGCAGCTAGAATTTTCGACGAAACCGCTTAAGGGCTAATTTGAGTTTATTCCTGTGCAATAGGCGAACGTCTTCTACCCAAGCAGGCTGGCAGTTCAGAGTGTAGACTGGATGGACTTTTGCTTAATAACGCTTTATACATAGTCATCGAACAGACTCAGGTCTGGGTTATACGAAAATCATAACCGTTTGGCATAAATAGGCGCACTATTTTGCTGCAAGACATAGGGCCTTCGATTAGACGTTAGACATTGACGAGCGCACAAGATACCGATCAACCTCTCCAATACAGCGTACGTGTTCTTAGAAGTATAGTGACATTACGTCTTTTTCATTCGACTTCACACTGAGAACACGAGCATTGGCCGAAAAATCGATTTACTTGCAACAGGTATACACCTTTCACCCTGAGAGCAAGTTAATGATCATTTCTGCGGTTAGTTTTTGAATTTTTAACTCAGAGAAAATTCGAACATGACCCGCTGCTGCACCATTGAGAGAGTGGAGAAGCAACTAACGCCTATCCAATCGTCCGGCTCCATTGAGCTCACGAGGCATCTGTCTGACTTTTACGGTATATTACATGTACGTGAGGTTTTTTTATGACTAATTAGTAACATGGTAGGTATACTCGCATGCAATTCCCTCTTCAATCTAATTCCAGGGTCTGCACTGTTGTTTGTTAGTCATAAAGGTCCTGTGCTGTGCCGGCATCGCCTTTTTCCTTATTTGCATTCTTACCTGTGACTCCGAACACTGCCGATTTTCGGTAATCATACGAGTAGCTTATAGTATTGGTAGGAATGCATCCCACGTGAGGGGATTGAATAATGGCTAATTTCTCTCAAATCACAAGGACCACGCGGTGTTTTCAGCAATCGTTATATCTTTTTACATCATTGTCATTTAATATTACCTATCTGAGACGAGCGCATTCGAAAAATCACTAGGACCAGTCGAAAACAGTTCCGCTTGAAGCCTAACACTATACGTAAGGGTAGTAGGGCTCCGTATGCTTATAGCCAAAGCAAGTTGATTTTAAATTCAAGTACTATTAAAGTTTTCGATTTTTTCAGATGAACACCGATCAGGAATTTAGCACAATCTGCGTTACTGATTCTTTTTGACCAAGCTTCACAAGATGAGGCTGTATAGAATTTTGTTGTACTTCATTGAACGCTCCTTGAGTGGTAAAGAAGCAAAAGAGCGATCTCATTTTTTTCCATAGCAGCTTCGCGTCCCCCAAACTTTAATTTCAATGCCAGACTGAAAGCAAGTTACGCCTCATAAAGGTCATTATAATGGGTTATACTATATGACCACTTTGAAAGCAACATGGGCCAGCATCATTTTAGCTTTAAATAACAAAATGTTGACGATTATTTATTATACAGAGAAATCGGAAGAACTTTGAATACAGATCACCATGATGGCTCTTTCTAGCACGCCCGGATCAGCTTTTGTGCGAGGCATCTTAAAGAAGCCCTTAGCATGTGCCGCGAGTTTAAATAAGGAAGCAGTTAAGGTTTTGCTCAAAAACTTCAGGAAACTGATAAAGTCAAGCAATTTTACTTTTTCAAGTTAAGAAAAAAAATACGTCTATTCATAAGGTAAACAACCCATTAAAGGTACTATGCCTGAAAGAAGTAGCTACCCTAGTGTCATAACAGTAATGCGAGATACTGGTTACGATGTTGGCCTTTATTATCGCAAGTCGAAACAGAACTTCGTCGCTTTAAGGAATATGTGCCGATGGATGAACTAGGGTTATGAATCTAAGGTTTCTTGCTTGTCCAGATGGATTGCAAAGAGAGCGCTTGGCAATTTGCTTTAGGCATTCACTGGCGACCATTTGCTGTTTCTTAGAGAAGTTATGCCCGCTAATCCTAGATAACCACGAGATTCACCCAACCCTGCCTAAGTGTGACCAGGTTGTCCTTGGAGAATGGCGTGTACATCGTCGTACTTCCTTCACGCTGCCCGAATAAACTACTACAACCCTTAGACGTGGCAGTTCTTGGGTCGTTGAAGGCTTGACTTTGTACAGGGCGTACAAGGAGTTATTTATGACGCCAAATATCGTAAGAGGGCTTCAAAACACAGGTTTCGTGTCGATGAACAGAAACGTATTCACAGGAAATAATTTTCTTTTTTTTTCAGTAGCACAGGCTGATAATTAGCCAGGGCTGCTGGGCCATTACGAAACATTATCCTTGCAGGAGAGCTGTTCATCGTCGAAAATGGAGACTCTATTGCGGGCAGCTTGCCACCCCATTGCAAACAGAAGCCATAGATCGTCCATTAGTCTCACAAAATAACATTAGTGTCTCCGTTTTCGAAAATATGGGTTTATTTGCTCCAATAGAATAGAGCTGCTTAATAGGATCAATTACAAAGCTTTACATCTCGATGATATAGCCCCACCAGGAGAAGCTAGGTAGGCCAACAACGTAGGTGTCTTTCATGAATTATTTTTTGAAACCTAACGATTTATTTTTAACCGTTAATAGGCCGCAAGGTAAAAAATTCTTGGCGAATTCGTCTTTAGTACATTTTGGTTCATATGGATCCACCATCTTCTCTAAATGGTACGGTTTATATAAAAAAAAAAAAAGGAAAAAAACAAAGACTCTATTTTTTCTCTAGCAAAAAGATATAGACTTACAGGCTGGATATTGTTAAATTTTCAGAATATTTTAGAGGCATACACATCAGAAATTTGGTGAAATCCAAGTTAATAGTTCTTTCTCTAATCAATTTCTGATTCTGTGTAGAATTAATTCTATACACAAAATAATTCTATACGGAACAAATAACTCTTTTGAATTTGATATAATTTTTGTTGAAAAATTAAGAAGCAGAATAATCGCCTTATTCTTTCACAACAGGTTCGCCTGTCCCAAAGTTACATTTCCAAAAGCAACCTAGGGGTAAGTTTGTTTCATAAAAGTTGAGTTAAAGTGATCAATCTGAAGGCTATATGGGCCATTGCATAATGGGCACGTACGAAACTAAATGGTGCCGATAACAATCCTGTAACAAAAAAATTAAAGAATAAAGTTGCTTCAAGATACAGATCAGCTTGGTAGGAATGCGTATTTGCGTACATATGCCACATGAGCCGAAGTCATCGTAGTTTTGGGCCATGAAAAGTTATACAAGAATCATATAGTCACGGTAGTTGTACACACTTCATTCATTTCGTCGCGAACCTTTTAGAATAACGATGTATACGTTATTATTGTTTTCTTCTATTCGCGTATGGGTTAGTACCTGAGCTATTCGAAACCCGGTTTTGCATTCCACAGAAAAACCTTATGTGGACCTAATAAACGAATCACAGCCGTTAATTTGTTTGCTTAGCGGTAAATGATTTCCAGAAATCGGCTCTTGTCACGACAATGACAGCTCTTGCTAGCTAGAAACGTATTCATTGAAGTATTTATTCATCACTTCTATATCGTTGTCCTAGCTCTAGCGCATATAACTTCAATTTGAAGGCTTACATTTTCTTGTGCAAAGAAATCAATGTTTCAACGAAGCTGTAATTACTGCTAAGAAAAACGATATTTAATAGTTATTTGCTGCCAAGTTAAATTGATAAAGAGTTTTGATCCGTCTACCATAGATTCACATGAAGCTCTGCTGGGTTTTAGTTTTAAATGGCCTAATTATTGACGTATCTTCAGGTCCTCCTTGCGCATGGTCCTGGGCTTATGTGATATGAAGGTGATGCCGATTGTTACCTACGGAAGTTAAATTGTTTGCGAACATCTTTGATCGATAGAACTGGAAAAACTCGATGAAATCAAACTTTCGCTTTTAAAGCACGCCATACACCTATATTGTTGTTCAGTGCTAAACAGACGCAAGCTTTCTATCAGCCGCCGCCAATTCGGACCCTGACTTTCACTATACGGGAGCTATAACTAATGAAGAATGGAAAAAGGTCAGACACAACAAACCGATGCATAGTTACCCTTTTTGTAGTACATGGCTTTTATCGAATCGTATGCGGAATGTTGGCTTTTTATTTCCCAGGGGCTATGTGTATCTGTACAAAATACGACGCCATATCTCTCGGGTATTCCTCATGCAGAGCCATGTGCTGCAGTACCATTGTCGGTCTTTCTAAGCGGGCACTTAAAGTTTCAAATTTGAAACTTTTGAGTTCGTACAATACAATTTTATTTTCCTAAACATAAACAAACCTTATGTACTACTATATGTAATATCGCCATACAGTTATTTTACAGTATTTGTTGTTTTACAAAGAATTCCTTTTAATACAACCGAGTTTGAATCAATGATGTCCGGCTTTGCTAGGCGGAAACATAACTGTATATAGCGCCGATGTATAGATTTACAGGGCACAGCAGTACCAAAATCGAATTCCCTTAGAGAAATATATTTAATAACGAATTAGCCATTTAAAATTTGCATTCAGCCACACAGTAATAATTTGCCAAATTATGACCACTTTTATCTTCGGCAACTTCCTCGTGTCCTTATTCTGTCTTAGCGGATTGTTTTGTTAAATTTACAGTAGATGTACGTATTGATCGACGTGTGGATGGTCCAGCCTTGCACTGACGTCTCCAATAGCCATCTTCAAAAATCCGTCGTAGGAAAAAATCCAGAATCCATTTTTGTGGGCAAGCCAAGCAGTTTAAGAAATGGTGACACCGACCCGTACAATGAGAAGCTAGGTACCATTCCAGTCTAAAGATTTACATAGCTTAAAGACGAGCCATTCAAGAAGTCTCCCGTCTCAACTTCAATCCAAACCAGTGCGGTGCACGATGCGCGCAGTCTCATCCGTCAATTATATACATTCAGAAAAACGAAAGATAATGCTCAATACTCACACCACGATGGGCCAATACAGCGACTGCAGACAACGGCATCTGGATTGAGCTAGAAAACTGTTCAACATTGCCCCCTTGCAGCCTGGGGCAACGCCTCGTACTACCTCATATCGATAGCTTTAGGTAAATCCATGTAAACTTTATCATATCACAAAACAGGCAGAGAATCAGGGAGAGCTAGTAAAATTGTCAAACAAAAAAATTAATCATTGACTGCATGTCAATCACTGACGAAACCGGTAGCAACGGGAACTCGACCGCCTCCCGTAGCTCTAAACTTTTAGCAACGTTTAGTACAGAAGCAAACCGTAACAATATCGTTACACCTATAAACTGCAGACAAGATGAATTACTTCGTGCAGACCACCAATCGAAAATCCCTCCAGTACGTTTTGCAAGAAAAGCCACGCTGATCATAAATCGATGAAACGTGTGATGTCCTTAGATTAACTAACTGAAAAGGAGGGCTCGTTCCTGATGCCTTCAGGATCGAGCATGAAGAATTTATTCATTCCTCAGTTAGATGCCATAATAAACGAGTTAAATTTACGAGACACGGTATTCCTTTAATGTATATGATGGCGGTTCCATTTTGTAATAGCTTACTTACTAGACCATTGCTTGAAATGGAAGCTGAGGTAGCTAAATTTGTACTTTGATCGCCAGCGTTTCAGATTGTAGAATATATTTGTAGACTTACACTAAGTCAGTTTTAAATCAACTTTAGGAGCTTCGAATCTATATATTTTTTTGTGTCAGCTATGCTTAGAGCACTCCATATAGCTTTTATTTTTAGAAAAATATAAGCTCGATTAGAGCAGACTTCCTCCCAAAGGGTTTTGCATAACACTAAGATTTTTGCAAATCAGAGGTTTGAAGGTCAGTGATATTTAAGATCATCTGGAGTCACGTTCAATCGAAGTGCATGTGATCACACTTACTTCCCATAATCTATGCGAAATCAAGCCCTACCATGTCCGTGTTATTATTAACCGGTGCAGGTAGTCGGCTCCGACAAGTTACAAAGAAAGCAATAGGGACACAGAAAAAGGATTAGTTTTTATGTAAGCAACTAGTTTGCCTAAAACTAAGAGATATTGCATTCTCTCTCCAGATCGAATGTGTCGATATATCCGACTGCACCAGCAGATGCTCTATTAGGCGCATCTGAAAACCTAAACCCCTCCGTACCACTTTTATGCCATCGTTATCAACTAACTCTTTTGCGGATTATATAATCACATGAGTTGATGTCAACGGAGAACTATTTTCAATGATACTAGCGAACGGTATTGTACTAATTAGTACACCTGCAAAAAAAGCTTACCTGTTATCTGTATACTCGTGTAATACTCGAATATAACATGTCAAAGTATACTTCGTTGATTCAAAAACTAGCGTTGAATTAATAAATTTAACTAGTATATTCCGAAAATTAGCCGGCCCTTATTGGCTGTTTCCAATATAAAATCTTAGCTCAATTTGTGGTAGCGTCGATATTGTGGACGTAGCAGAAAATGATGGATGTGTAGTAATTGAATACCGTGTCTCGTACTTAACCCTTTAACTTCCTTTAATATATTGTTTGTTTTCAATTGCAGATACTGAGCATTTGAACGAATTTCTCCGGGAACACAAAATCTCATATGAATCATATATATCTATATATATGATTCATATATATAGATATATAACAAGGAGAAGTGCGGAAAAGTGGTCAGTTGAGCTTGTTTTAATGGTGATGTCAGCGTTGCATGAGGAGCTAGTCAGTCTATGGAAGTTAGATGCAAGAAGCTCGAAAATTAGTCAAAATGGCCCAAAAATATTTTTTGTGCACATAAGTCTTTGCTATAAAAACTAGCAGTTGCTTTATACAGGGGAATACTAACTGTCAATCGGCTCATCGAGACAGGCTCCAGAGCCCAGTCCGTTTAAGATTTTTAGCGCCCTTTGTAGATCTCGAATTCTTTGAGCGTTTGAAACCTTTGCACTTTTAGCCTGCAATCAAGCTATACTTTAATTATGCTAAAATGTTTTTTGTAAAGCGTATTCGGACGACCCTTGCGAGTTCGTATACATAAATATTGTCCAAAGCATGGTTTCTATTAAAAAGTTACCTGCGGATTAAAAAAAGAATATTTTACGAAGAAGTTAGCGATTTAAATCTCAAATTGAACTTGTAATCGCGCTGATTGAGAGTTACGCTGAATAAACGCGATCGCTGAAAATGACACTCCTAGCACTTGCAAAAAAAATGTGTTAATTGACCTGTTCCTATTTAGATACAAAAAAAACTCTCAAAGAAAGTTTCAACAATTTTAATTTTTTAAGTAAACTGGTCGTAAAGTTATTTTCGTAAAGACCTATTTAAATGTTTAAGATTCCAACACAATATTTTCTCTCTGGTGAAGCGTTTTACAGGAGGTCGAAATATGACAAGTCGATGCGCTCACACACTCACTACTAGCCTTTTCCATAGAGTAAAGGTTGTAATTCTTCGGGCAGGTGGTCACTGGTTATTCTGGTTAATCCTAACTGTTTTTAACTCATCCGTAGATTTTAACTTTTCCAAAGATGAAGAGGAATTAAAAAAAAATGTTTTTAAAAACAGCACCAATAAGAAGATGTGCTTTAACCAGTGGTTAGTGAGATTGAATCACGGATACCAGAAGAGAACAATGGTGGGCGTAGAAGAACCACATTTTTTTGGATTTACTTGATAAATATGCACTTCAAGAGACAACGGTTATTTACCTTGGGTGTTATAGTTGGTACCAATATACTGATATATGAAGTGATTGTTCTAGCTGAAAGTTGTCCTTGGCATCAATAATTGAAGATTAACTTAAAAGAGGCCAGCAAGTATTCTCCCTTGGGATTTTTACTTATCAATGAATGCATGTTTGGTCGACATGCACGGATACATAGCATAGCTAGTAATTACATTTTTAATAGACTTTATCTTCAAGCCTTTCGTAAGATACTCACTTTTTGGAACTTGCTACGCCGATGGCGAGTCAATGGGTAAAACTTTTCCAGAAGCCAGCACAGTCAGCGGCTTAGTCCTGAGTAGCCCCTATACTACAAGTGTACCGATTGACCTATACAGAGTAATCGTACAAAGGACACTCCGCTGATGGTAGGGCTACAACAACAACATAATCCCAAGTCACACGAAGAAAGTGAAAAACAGCGTAGATCTGCGTAGAATAATGTTCCGTAACAACGACCTGCTCAACACAAGCCAGTAAAGCACTCGCTGCTGTTTCGTATCGCTTACCCTTTGCCAATCATCTAAAGGGGCCAACTGGCAGACAAGATTACCTCGTACTTAGGCCAAGGCTTTGCCTCAATCGGCTTCAATCCTTCTCTTTCTCTTTTTTCCCTTTTACCCGTTTTCCCTTTTCTTTTTGTGAAAATAGTTGTCCTAGAGTAAGCGTCACTGACATCTGTCGAGATAGCGACCAACACGTGAGCACACAAATTTGTGCATCCATGAATATCTGTCCCGGCGTTGGTCCATAAGGGTTTTTTTTTTGTTATGGAATGATTTAATAGCATAAACGTACTACAGGGGCTTCAGTGTCCTCAGAGGATTTGATTGCACTTAAAAAAAAAAGAAAGAACGAATCAAGCGGACTTTCCTTTTACTTTTGTGCTCAGCAGTTCTCTTTTCTATATGAGAGATAATCGCAAAATAGCCACCAAAGCTTTGCCGGTACTAAAGGAAGCAAGCATGTAAAATTTTAAGAGTCAAAGATAACTACCCTGATATTTTTTGAAGTTTTCGATGGCCTTTGGGTCAAGGATTGAGGATCGTGATCTATCTACTTAACAATATAACATATATGTATATATATATTATTAAAGTCAAAGTAATTCTCTCCTTACGGTGCAGATACTTTCCTGCGAGAAAGAGCTCTGCAAAAATGCTTGGGTACAAAAGTTCAAATTTGAACACACAACTTCCGTGAGCCGCTGAGGCTGTCGTTCTTTTTCTGGGTCGTTTTTACATGACAGGCTTAGAGAGGTTCGATTTGATTGGCAGACGACGGTACTGCTCTGACGTCAAGCTCGTGGAACTACTACGAATCGAGTGATGAAACTGGTGAAAAGGGCGAAACCTGAATTCTACATAAATATTTCGAGTTAAGCGTCGCTTCTAGTATGAAACGAAGTATGTCTACGCTTCGTTTCAAACCGTTTTTAAGAGCAGCTAATGCAGTGTGCAAATCAGTCTTCAATGGTAAAATTTTTGTCTTACACCGGGCGACGTTCATCATTTTCGAATCTAGGTTACCTTAGGTGTAGCTCACTTGGAAAACACGCTCTATCTAGCCATGGAAACACCTAATCCATTCTCTAAAGAGTATCTTGCAACTGGCCGTGAGGTGGCGCCAGTAAACATATAATATACGACCAGTATAAACAACAAAAAAGTAAACGTCTTGATGAGCGTTCAGTCACCTTCTATTATATTGGTGCATTGTTTGTAATACGAAAATCAAGAGATATGAATCGAACGAGCCGTTTCATATTGCGGCTTGATTCAGTAGATATCCAAGTGTTGTTAATAGTTATTAAAAGATATGAAAAACTAAGTTAGACAAAGGGCTTATTGTACCAGCAGTATACATCTTCTGTGCCGCTCATGCTAGCTTTAGCTCGAATCGTCTCTTCGTTCAGTTGGCAAAGACCGTGGAGTTGGCTAAGCTAGACAATGAAGACAGATAGATTAATAATTCAGTCAAGTGTTTATTTATCTTCTCTGCGCTTCCCGAGCACTAATAGGAAACACGCATGAATCGCACCTTTTCCCAGATGGGTATCTTCTTTTTGCCTTTCGACAAAGTGATCTTCTTAAACAAGGCTCGGATGGAGTTTTGCCTCGGTATATCGACTCATGTTAGAAATATTTTGCTCCTCTATATTAAACACTGTTGCTTTCATATCCACTACAAAGTGCGGCTGAGACTTGAGTAAACTGGTCGGTGCATGTTACGGATGCTAGATTACAGACTCTCCTAATGAATACGTATGCCATAAATTATATTGCAAAATGCAACGTAGTTAAAGTTGCCAATAAAACTCTGTAAACATGTGTATTTTGTGTTTCCATATTATAGAGTTAATAAATAAATTTAAGCCATCCAGCCAAATGAGCCAATTTTTAGCACGAGACAATGTGGGCCTGCGATCGGTTTTGATACTGGGCCATCGCACTTAAGTGTGCTCAAGTTGAATAGATAAATACGTTACTACTACTAGTACTACTGCTCCAGATAGAAGGAGGAAGCAACGGAACGCTCTGTGTGCTTAAAACAGCGTAATGTGCGTACAAATGCTACCTTGCAAATGAAAATCTTTTCGCAGGCACCAGTTTCAATCAGTCTGATGTGCAGCCATCCATATTCTACGACTGATGGGAATGTACGCCCCTGAGTATTCTCAATAGGTAGATAATACCATTAAATATCACACACTTTTACGCGAAGTTTCAATTTGGTAGTTGTAGTGTTTTGCGATCACTACTG